TGTTGTTTGTGTGTGTGAGGGGGGTATTTTTTGTGTGTTTGGTTGTTTCTTTCTATTTCATTTTTGCAAGGACACGATTTGAGGCAAGAGAGGGCAGAAGAATGCTCAGGACGACATTTTAATGTGAACATTGCTAACGACGGATGAGTTTGTCCATGAATACCGCCTGCTGTACACAACGCACGCGAGGTGGTACGGCGGTAGGACAAAACAAACTTGTGTGATTGGTATGATGCCCCACGGCATGATGCTACCTCCCCGATACGGCGCCCACTTCATTTCTCATCGTATGGTACTAGTCACGAGCGTCCACCTCCAAGTACACGTGTCTGTGCACTGCATATCTCGAATGTACCTCTATAGTTCCGGTACCGGAACTATAGAGGGTGAATTCTATATACTTCCGGGTCCCGCTATAGTTCCGGTATTATCGGCATTCAAGACCGGAACTATAGCGGGACCACTCCTGTATTCACATACTCTCACGCGTTGTTGCGCCCATATCGAACTCGGCGCCTGTTCACAGACGGACAGCAATGGCCGCAGGCTGAGGTGCATGTTCGTCGCGAATGTGGCCGCGGGCAAGGCCTTCAAGACCCATGAAACGAGCCTTCAGCAAAACGAGTGCCCCCCCGCCGGATATGACTCCGTTGTGGGAGAAGTGAGTCCATGACAACTTTCATCACACAGTCTGAAGATGAAATCTCGCAGAAAACATGTGCATAGGTTTAGGAAGAACGGGAGCTTGGGCGACATCCGTTGTTCTTGTTTCATCTACTGTTGTGTCGCGCCAGTCGACAGAGATCAATGACTTCGGGAAGAGGGTACATTTCTCCGTATTGTAGGCAGATTGTTCGGCATCGCTGGGTTTCCCCGCCGACACGTGCGGTATCGAAATGGAAAAAGTCTTCTCTCACATCGGTGTTTGGATTGCCTACACCCCGGAAGCGTTGGACAAAAATAATATATTACTACAGTATTGCTGTCGTCCGTCCAAGATCTTTCCCCCTTTTTTTTCGATGAACGACAGGTGGGCCAAGGGCTGAACTATGATGAGCTTGTGGTATACAAAGACGAGGCCGCTCTGCCCACACACCTTATTGTGTACTCTCGTCATTGAACATGACAGAGATCTGCTGCTTGTCGTCTCACGCTACATAAAGGAGGGACGTCAACAGCTGGCAGAGGTTCATTGTGTTGCCGGTGTCATCACAGTATTACTGTGGCCTCGGGAGATAGTCCAAGGGTCGCCCTGGGTTTCCAGGAGTTCGAGTGTAGATGTTGAGACAATCACATGTAGTCCATGTATGCATAGGCCGGCGATATGTGCGCTCACGGGATCAAAAGCGGCCACATATTCTCCGCTCCAAGGAGAGGGGCCTGCAGTAGCTCTTCGTAGCTTCTAGTATTCACATGCCTGTCGGAGGGCTCGGTGGCGTTGGTGATCATCATGATTGATCAAGCTCGCAACCTTTGATCTCGAAAGCTCGCGAGATTCGATCCCTGATGGTCGACACCACCGCTATCGAGCACAGTTGCGGTATGTCAAGTTGCGCTTTTCGATACGCCCAGCGTGTTGGCGCGTTTCCCGAGGTACTCTTCAGGCCACTGGCAGCCGGTCTACCCTTTCCCGTAGTGTTGGCTCTGCCTTCGTTGTTCTTCATCTCAAGCACTACAGCAGTATTGTGGTTTGACGCTCGGGTATCATTTTTCTTGCCATCCCCCGGAAGTAAGCCGAGACACGTGGACTTCCGCTGTTGCGGTTCAGGCCAGTAGATGCAGCAAGAGCAGTTTCACGCGTGACCGTTTGCCACAACTGGATTGATTCCGTTGCCCAACGTCTTGCTTGCTTTCAAGAGTAGCAGCGGCCCTTTCGGAAGCAGCAGCTAGACTCGATATACAGCCTGTTCGTTTCGTAATACCTTTGGGGTACAATCCAGGAGTGATGCCGCCAAAATCTGATTCACACGTCTAACAGGTGGAGCGGCATTGGTCTGGTCGGCGAAAAATCCGGCCGTAATCCCCATGGTAAATCATGAGCAACAGTAGCTTACAGAAAAATTGGAACCACGAGAAATTGCAAAACGTATGGTGAACGCACCACTCTAATGGCACTCCCGTCCCTCTCCCCCACGCCTATTGGGCGCTCCATTCCCGCAAACGTGAATCTCCTAGCATCTACAGTAGCCGGGATTCCGTGGTTTAGAAAGCAAGGCACCTTTTCATGTACTGTAGCAGCTGTGGAGCTTGCACACCAAAACCGAAACCTTCATCCTACGAAGGAACCGCCACATCAGGCAGTTTCATGGTATGCTTTCCCTGTCCATTGTGCTCTTTCTGATTCCCGTAGGTCACTGCGTTGGCAAAAAACGAAAAAATAAAAAGAATATTAAAACACCTCATGCGCACGCGGTGCTCACAAATACAGCTCGACGAGTGCCCGCTGCGCGGGCGGACCGGACCCATTGGTCGTCTTTTTCATGTTTTCTCGATTAGCTCCTTCCATCCGTTTTTTATTCGTGCAGAGCGTAGACGATCAAGTGAGTCGGCAGGGCAGCCTCTTCCTTGTAAACTACTACTTCGGGATAGTTCAAGGCCGGCCCTTTCTGATAGCCGCAAGCGCATGTGCGGACAGCATGGCAACAGGGAAGAGTAGAACAGAACACGGAAAGAGGTCAGATACAGCGGAGCGAGCGGGTACAGATGAGACAGACAGTAAACTAGCATGCTACATGGTCTGGAGGAGATAACAATAAAAACCGTTGATGAGTCTCTGAGACCCCAGTGAAACGACCCACCCGCTACCACAATCAAAGTCGAGTTGACGATTGTTTCGTCAATCCCAACTTAAACTGAGCAAGCGGCATGTCCGCGCAATGTGGCACCTCTCCGAAATAGACATGGTATCAGTCAAGCGACAACGCCTTTGGCCAACACCGCCATTTCCGTGTTTTTCTCACCTCTCCCACGACGGAGTCGAAGCCTGGCGGGGGGCATTGTTCCGGAGGGAGCTTCCCTTCGTAGGTGATGAAGGCCCTGCCTACGGTCACGCTTGACAAGAACATGCACCGCACCTTCTTGCCTGACCGGTCCGTCTATCGCAAACAATGCGTCGTAGTCAGAAACCGAGTGCATCGGGTGATTTGCGGGTCAGGGTGATACTATGTGAGCCACATGGAGCAGAAGCGCAACTGGTGCCGATATGATGTGAACACCTTGGGTGATTGAAGCAGTTGGATGATAAAAGCAAACGTCGATTCATTCCATGAACCACGTAGGCTCTTCGAGCCAAAACTCCTTGATTGAGAGGGATGAGACGAAAGACAATCAGCAGAGTTGGTCACGAAAGAGCAACGCCGCGCCGCCAGAAGACGACGGCCCAAAGATGAGACGAACAGAAAGTTTGGACGCAGGCTGCGTGACATGCAACCCTCGGTTCATTCTTGTCCGTTGACACGCTGTTCTTCATCTGCACTAGCGCAGTTTCCTGCCTTTTTAGTTGACTAGAGCAACGTCTGCGCAAAGACACCACCAGAACCAAACCAGCACAACGTCTACGACCAGACCTTATCTGAGCTAAACAAGCCTCAGCAAAGATTGATTTTGGTTATCATCGGAGAGAGTCTCTGATCGAACAATATATCGGAAATGCGACCTACCCATAAACACCGCCAACTAGACCAAAGGCCGCGAGTCCAGAGCAAAGTCAATCCTCCAAAATCGCAGTTTTACCTTCTCGGACAGCTCGGCGTAGTCGTTGGCCTTGCCGGAGACGCTGCTGAAGTACAGCCCGTCTCCGTAACGCAGGTCGAAGTTCGTGCGCCTCGCCGTGTCCCCAACGTTGTCTCTCAGCTGGAAACCGTGCGTGCAGATGTTGCAGACTTTGCAGGTGGACTCTCCGCACGGCCCCCCCTGGCACAAAAAGGCGAGAGGGGGCGATACATCGCGAATACGCAACCATTGTTCTTTGTCACGTTTGCCGCGGAGCTCCTTGCTATGTGGGGACGAGCAAAAGGACAGGTGAGGAAAATTCGCTTCTGCGAAGATCTTCTTTATTAGAGAGCGAACCAGCGAACCAGCGAACCAGACATATTTGATTGACACAAGTCCCCCCATTCATGCAATGTTGAGAAGGCCACTCTCCTTCGTCCTGTGTCGGTCTTCCAGCCGTGCATGTTGGTAGACGGTGGGAAGTCATATGCACAGCAGTGCTTCCGACAATTTCGACACTGGCGCCAAGAGGTGCTAACTTTCTCCGAACAAGTGCTCGAAGCAGTACCAGCAGCAGCAGCAGCAGCAGCGAAGCTGGTGTCACGAGTATAATAGCACCGAAAAATTTGCCAATCATGCCTCTCAGCCAGACCATGCCGCACCCACTAGTGCGGCCGAAGTTCGAGCCATACACAACTATGGTTCGGGCACCTATTGGTGAAAGTTATAGGTTTACACCTGAAGGTAGAACTTCACAATATTTAACAATGGCTAGTTTCCGTAATCTAATGGCATGTTCTCAGCCTGCTTTCCACGCTTCTACACTCCACCGTCATGCGGGAGGGAGAATGGGACGTCCTGATCAAGTTACAGCTGCCCCATCCAAATCATCACCCATCTTCGAAATCTTCCACTCCTGCCGACGTTACCAACCGCTCAACCCAGCCCACAGCCGAACCCAACCAACCCGAAATTCGACTCACCCTCAGGTCGACAAAGAACGTGCACACGTTCGAGCACGAGGTGCCGTGGAATCGCCGCTGGACGTTTCCAACTTGTCCCATGCAGGTTTCGGTTCGTCTTCGGATATCCTTCGGCACCTGGCGGTGGCTCCGCGGAGGCGGGGCGATGCCGTTACAAGCGGGGTGATCTCGAACGCCAACAGCTAAGCCATGGGGCGATACTTCAAGTAGTATCGCGACGATCTCCTCGAGGCGTGTTGCAGGTTGAGGCTGTAGCCGCGATCGTTTCGTTAAAAGTGCGTCCCGCCTTGTCGGCGGCCCTCAAAGTGTCAACAATCCGAAAGGTTGAGTCGAATTGGTGCGTGCACACCAGACCCGGCAAACGAATGAACAAACACCCTCAACTAGTGGTCGTAGTAGCGTGACTCTTGGCTATCATCGTAAAGTCTTTCTGCGAATTGGACTGGATGAAAACGTTCTGGGTGAGGTCCGCACTACAGTGATCGTGCTGGAAGGCTGATGTCCTTTCATGTTTCGACCGGATAGCGCGCGATGGAAGCCATTAGAAACAAACAGAAAACATGCACACACGCGCACCTGGACCTTGAAAATTCTCAAGACTGAGACGCCAGTGCCCACCAGGGGCTTCTCCCACTTCTGCATGAACTGCTGTTTCCGACTGAGGTACTCCGGGTGTCGGTTCGTTAGGACGCTCAGCTGGAAGTCGTCGGCGCTTGTGGTGCCGCCCCGAAACGTGCGATCGACAAACGGCTCCGGGTTCGGCCCCTGCGGGGTGGTTGTGCCAAGGGTGAGCCGCTGATGTCATATAACTGTACGGGATAGATCTCCGGCTGTACGTAGGCGATACATGGAACAAGGAGGGGCACGCCTGCACAACAGGATGCCTGCTAAGCATGGACGCCATGATTCCCTTCCACTATTAACCCCGGCTGCCTCCTCTGCGGCCGGCGAGTTCTGCAGTTTTGACAGATCGAGTGCAAGGGTAACCACCGCCGTAACCACCGCCGAACAAAGTAAGTCAACATGTGATAACAAGCACCTCTTCCCACGCTCTGCATTCACCAGGGAGCGCTGGGTCGCGCGAAGCCGGTGGTCTTCGCAGCAGTATCCCGTCTCCTGCCGATCGCGCGGGTGGACGAAGTTGGGGTTGACGCACCCAGGCAAAGAGCACACGCCGACACCCACGAGGTAGTTCATCCCGACCTCGCCTGCGCACCGGCTTCCGCAGTAATCCAACACGCCTCCCGTACCTTCGTCCACCCAGGCAGCCCTGGCACATCACGCACCAAAATGACTTGAACAAAAAATGTTGAAAAACTGATCCACGGAGAGGGGTTGCGACAGGGGCACGCAAGGAATACCAAGAACATCGCGCGCCATGCCAATGGACAGCTCGTCGTTTCTTGTAACAGGATTACCTGCTGCAGCCATCGCGGATGCATTCGCTGTTGAGCATGGCCGTTCCCGCCACATAGTGCCGGTTGCTGCAGTACTTGGAATCCTGTGTGGTTTTCACGAAGCGTACGTTCAAGTTCAGAGCATCGCCAACTCCGTCCAAGCAGGGGAACATGGCCGAGATCGAACTACACATCGAATGGACGACCCTTTCGTTTCACTCGTACCACCAAGAGAAGCAGTAGAGGCCACCGCGCAAGCGCACGCTAACAACCCACAGCGCGCCCTCTGCAGTCCATGGGTATTACGGCGTGGGATAGCAAGGAATGTTTTAAACCGGCGAAAGATTGCCTCCGGAGAGAATCGCCCCGTAATATTGGCTATTCTGTCGGCCATGACTTTCGCCGACAGTCTAAAACAACGCCGCTTGCAAGACCTATTCGCATGGATGCAAAAAATGGATAGAATGTCCCACACCCTGCATCCTAGAGGACGTTTTAGACCGGGCATGTGCAATACTTTTCTTTTCGGCTTCTATCTCATTGACACCCCCCGCTCGCCCGATTTATTGCCCAAAAGACCTCTGCGGCGCCTAAAATACTTCACGAATCAACTCTGATGACATCTACATGCCTTAGGCTTTCGACCCTAGTGTCACACGCGATGCCGGTAAACGAAAATAAAATGGAGCGGTCACGGACGTCGCTCACACTTAAGACGCCACAACGGCCACCAAATAAAGGTGGCAAGGTATCTATTAAACGCTTGGGCAGGTGCGTGCCAAGTAAGATGCTCTGGTGCGCCATCCAACGGGCACAATCGACATCCGCGCAAGATGGGCGAGAAGTTTCAGTATCAACGTCATTTCGTGGGCAGAGAGCGGGTACTGCACTGGATATTTCTCCTAACAAGACGTGGGTGTTGTCCTTGTCTCGCTTGCGTGATTTCTCTCGACGTTCGCTTTCGCAAGACAAGTCACCATAATGCCGGCGGAGCGGCGGTTTCTTACAGGGCCTTCGATACCACATCTTCTCCAGACTGTCATGCACCATCTCTCACCACTTTCGTCACAGGGTCACGGTAGACCAATTCTTTGCAGCCCTCTAAACTGCACTCTCCAGTGCCCTTTTCGTGTGCAGGTGCTCCTTTTCCTGCCCCCGTCCCGCGAGACGGCGACGACCTCTTTCCGTTGGCCATGGCCTCGTTTGCGTGGCCGCGGCCGCAGAATTCGTGCACGCGGCCCGAACGTTCGTCGACGTAAACGGTACGAGAACAGCCGGCTAGCTTGCATCGAGAGCCCTATGTGGCAAACGGGGCGATGGCCAGGGGAGAGAGCAAGTGGCGGGAGAGAACGGCAGCGGCGGCGGCGACTCTCATACGCAAAAAATACATGGTATTACGTGCGTACTCGAAACACACAACCTCTTGAGCAGCAGCCTAGATGGGGAACGGGGCGGGAGTATCTGAAAACGAGCCTGCTTCACTCGGTCATTGGTTGAAGTCTCGGATGCAAAGCTCTTGGAAACGGGCAAGACGAGGGGTGGCCGGTGGCGGGTAGACCGACGGTTTACATCGGAGTGGTAGAGGTTAACTCCTGTGTGCAGATTCCCTTAGAGATATGAACAGAAAATCGTGGTCAATACTGATGCAACAGTTGCTACAGGGGTATACCGCGCGGGGCCTTCAGGGCAGGTGCTACGGTTTGTGTGCCAGCACACTCGTTTTCTGTGCCGTACACCGTTTAGTACACAATGTCAACGATGCCGTAGTTGTGTCTGGCCGTCTACACCACAAGACAGCAGCGTACAACTGAATTCGCGCTATTGTAACCAGACCCTCCGCAATGCATGTCGTGAACATCGTCCCGGGGAAGGACTAAGTAGTCTACAGAGTAAAATTTCCATCGGATGAGTGACATTGTGCCTTCCCATCTGTCGGCCCCCCGGGGAAACATCTCTTGCTCATCAGGTATTTATTTCTCTACGGACGGAAGGCGATACGTGACGAACACGCTGCAGAGCAGAGCATAAACAGTAATGTGGGAGCAGGCGAAATCAGAGCCTTTCTTTGAACCGGTTGGTCCCGTCAACGAAATCGCGCGTGCTGATTTCTCCTACTGCTGTGTTCTGCTGTACATGCACATACCGCGTAGACGTGTTGGTTGGACGTGACTGCTCGAAACGGTGTCGGGTGTGAACATTACAGATACATACAGCTGCAAGAGGCTGAAACATACTGCTGCCTGCTGTCCAATAATCCTCCCGCTGCTGAATCGCTGGTTGCCGGCGTCCTCTGCCACTCGCTCGTGGAACTCGTTCCCGAGTACATACATGCCTATGTAAACGAACTTCAACATGCTACGGAGTTTATTCAAAATTGGGCGCTACAAGTAGCGGTATCGTCAGCCACTTTGCAAGTGCTCGCGAACTCTGAGGGTGGTGTTATATTAACTGGTGTTTGTCCTGGCGTCTGTAAGTGTACCTTGTACACTACACAAGTGGCACAGCAGTACTTGATAACCAAGACGCTCTACCAAGCGCTTCGTCCACCCTTCTCGTACAGCAGTATGTAGCTGCTCACATCGGACCCTCCGCCCCTGTTTCGAGAGGAAGATCGAAGTGAAGCCCATTTCGCCCTCGCTAGAGCCTCATTTGAACATGTTCGCGAGCAGTAGCTGTGGACGAAGCCGTCTTGGTCTTCGAAGCAGGGTGACTGGCAGTCGGGCAACGCGCACAGCCGGCGGTGCGTGCCGGCGAACATGGCCATGCTTTGGAAACCGACGGCGACGCCACTACCGTGGCGCACCAACGACCCTCCCTAGACGATAGAGCCAGAGGTGGCCGTGGAAAATAAACGGGGAGGCAGCCCCACGGACAAAAGGCGAGTATATTGAGAGCAAGGCAGAAGGACCTCAAGATGGGAATCGGCCCCCGCAGGCCGCCTTGCCTCCGGAGCAAGAGGAACACAATTTTCGAGGGTGGCCTTTTGGTGCAGGAAAATCTCACAGTCCCGCCAGATTACACCGCGCCACACGGTCTGGGCGGTGTGCTTGTGTGCTTACCACGGACCTAGGACCACGAAGCCTCAACGCACCGAGCATCAAGCTGGCCCCTTCGATGGGTTGATCGTTTTGCGAACCAAACGGCGATATTCTACGGCGATGGTGCTGCCGACAACGTAAGTGTGTGGGGGTTGTTTGGGCACGAAATACGCTCAACATGCACGCCTCTACCACTGCTGTACGGAAGAAAATGTGTTCCAGGTGAAGGTTGGGTGGACTAAAACACTTGGTGGTATGCTACATACTGCAGTCGTGATCCAAAGGTTTCCACCTTGCTCGAGCAACGTCTGTAAGCTCTACCAGCAACATATGTAACTCGCGCACAACACCCACTCCGGGCTGATTTGGCATATACTGCTGAATCATGCATTTCAAACACAAAAATCGTGGGCTCGGTTTAGCGGTCCGCACAACATTGTCACAAAATGTCATAAACCGCTATTGGGGAGGGCATCGCCGCTAAACCGGATTGGCAGTTACATAGAAGTAGTTTGGCTTCCGAGGTGCAGCCGTGCCACGAGAGATTGGAACCGCTATTCAGGGCACCGCGCTAGACAGGGAGCGCTACACCGGGAACCACTACTGCAGGAGATTTAAGTATAATCTTTTTCGGCACGTCCATAAACACCGGAGTACTTTGTCTTATCCAGCCCACCGGTGGGGTAGATAAGCCTAAAATTCTCCACCAGCTGTATGTTGCCCTGCAAGACTCTAACCGATGCAGGACATGCACCAGTGTGTTGCTGCGTTGCAGGGCTATCATAGGACCCTTCGTGAAGCTGAACACTACAGTTTTGGTGCTGCCATGGCTAGTGGGGGAAGTTGCGCCGCTACAGTACACCCAGCTGGTGGGGTACATAGCCTTGCCTGCCCCACCACCTTAATCTCGCCCTACAAGACTCCGATCGACGCACCAGCAACGGTAGGAGTGTGTGGTGGATCCACACACACCACACAGCAGCAGACAGCAGGCGAGGAGGCGAACTGGTATTCCACCGCACAGCGCCAAACACATCAAGTGGGGACCGAACGCTGCCTTTTCTCTACTTGAAGGCAGGCTTCCTTCAGCACGCGAGAATCCCACTGCTGTGTCTTGCCCAGTCAGACTCCGATCGACGCAGGACATGCGCAACTGTGTTGGTGTGTGGTAGGGTTGTCGTGGGGCCCATCATTGAATGCCCAAAGAGCTCCGTTTTCGTGCTGCCACCACTGGCGGGGCAAACTACGTTAGTGCCCAAAATACGTCAGTGCCCATCCGTAGGGTAGAGAAATACCGCACCGCTTGGATCTCAGCCTACCAGACTCGAATTGCAACACAAGCACCGTTGTTGGAATGTGTGTTTGATGCACGCACACACCAGCGAGCAGCAAAGTCAAGGAAGGGGAACAGGATGGGGGGGACAGATCATACAACCCCTCATGGCAGCCTCGATCACGTGAGGTGGAAACTGCAGAAGTGCCTTCTCGAATCTTGCAGACAGCAAGCAGCCCAACACCCCAGCCCGTTGACGAAGCCATTCGTTCAAATTCGGTAATACCGGCTGGAACGACGGATACTCCTCACGATCTAGTTTAGGCAAAGGTCGGTGCCAGATAGACGGTGCATTCTATGCTAGATTGTTTGTGTCCTTCATGCACGTTCGCGTGGTGCGCGTAGTACGAAACGATCCCGACCTTCAAATACACACTGTTTGTTCGCACCACACTGCCTCGAGAGCTCATGCAGAAAGACAGATGACATGCGTATTGTGCATCACGTGTTGTTCTGGAAGTCTTAATCGAATCCTTCGTTTCGGTTTCGGATTGGAAATCCAATTGGTCTGTTGGAAACTAATAATTCTGTGGCCCAGGTGCTGTATTGAATGAAACCACGGAGCCTCACTCGAGAGAAGTCTCTCTGTCAGCCCTTGTGTCGAAACTGAATGGACGTGTACGGAGAGAGTATCCCCAAGAAGCGGGGTCTTCACCACGTAGTGGATATGTACCTCGTAACACTCATCGTTCAGAATAACTGTCGGAGCATGCTCCAGGTCAAGAACTTGCAAGTACCACAGGCTGCTTGTGGTACATGTCAATCGCACTTGGGAACGTTCATTCATCTGTACCAAATATTCGAAACCTAGACTCATGCGAATGTAGACGCCGAGGTGCGCTCGAGAGCGAAACCCTACACACAGAAACATGCGTGCACCAGCGCCGGAAAAGTAAGCACACTTCGGTGAGAGTATTCCTTCATTGGCGGTAGTTCTTGTCGCTAATTATTGTCGCTTGATTCATTCACTCATTGCGCTCTGTTACAAATACTATCTGTCGGCGACGCGCACAATCGAAGGAACAATACGAACTGGGCGTTCTGCTGCCGGGCCACTTTCTGCAATATGTAGTTCTACCAGCGCCCGATCTTCGTTCGTCTGATGAAGGCATCCGATGCATCTCTCACGTACAAAACAAGGTGGCACTGTCCACTGTCCCAGGCTGTTGTATAGATTCGGAGATACTATGGCAGCAGTGTAGGCGAGAACATTCAGCAACAAGTCTAACATCAAAGTTCATGGAGCCGCCTGGAAAACTCATTGTTCCGTTGGGAGGTCCCTCCCGGACGTGTGATGAATTCGGGGTGTCCCTGTCCCGGATGGTGTCGGGCGTCGGGCGTCTGTCTGCAAGATTGTGGAGAAGGCATTATTCAATTTCCACCTCACGTGATTGAGGCTGTCCGTGGGGTTGTATGATCTGTCCCCCCCATCCTGTTCCCCTTCCTGACTTTGCTGCCCGCTGGTGTGTGCCCTATATGCATCAAACACACATTCCAACAACGGTGCTTGTGTTGCGATTCGAGTCTTGTAGGGCAAGATCCAGATGGTGGGTGTTTTTGTATTTGTGGGCTTATCTACCCTACGGGTGGACACTGGCGTAGTTTGCTCCACCGGTACAGTAGTGGCAGCACCAAAAAAGAGCTCTTTGGGCTTTGAGATGGGCCCCACGACAGCCCCACCACACACCAACACAGTTGTGCATGTCCTGTGTAGATCGGAGTCTGATTGGGCAAGACACAGCAGTGGGATTCTTGCGTTGCTGAAGGAATCCTGCCTTCAAGTAGAGAGAAAGCAGTGTTCGGTCCCCACTTGTCGTCTTTGGCCCTGTGCGGTGGGAATATTTTGCCTGTTCGCCCCCTCGCCTGCTGTCTGCTACTGTGTGGTGTGTGTGGATCCACCAAACACTCCTACCGGAGCTTGTGCATCAATCGGAGTCTTGGTAGGGCGAGGTTATGGTGATGGGGTGGCAAGGCTATATACCCCACAGTGGGGTGTAGCTGCGCAACTTCCCCCACTAGCCATCGCAGCACCAAACCTATGCTGTTTCAGCTTCACGAAGGGTCCCATGATAGCCCTGAAACGCAGCATCACACTGGTGAATGTCCGTGTTGCTTAGAGTCTTGTAGGGCAAGATGCAGCTGGTATTCATATGGTTTATCTACCTCCCCGGTGGGGCATTTAAACATGCCGTATTTTTTCTGATACAAGGAAAGAGAGCCGTGGGTGCGCAGCCAGTCTCAAGAACCAAATAAATTGGGCCGTCCCCGATGGAGAAATTGGTAGCTTTCAACCAACTAATTTTTGCTGCCTCGACGTCTCCATCTCATGGTTCCTTGACGGGCATGCACTCTCTTCTGTCACTTCAGACGCAACGAGACAACGTGCCAGCTATGGGGTTGTACGGAGCAGCGAGTTCGAGAGGAGGACGTGGTGCACAACTTTTGCAGTCGGGGTCATGCGCAGCTAGCCAAAGCCCGCGGAGAGTGGCCGCCCCCTGCTACCCGGGGGTCATCGATGTGTCAACTGCCGGGTTGTAAGGAACCCGCCCATTTCAATCCCAATACTGGCAAGGTGCGTTAGTTCTTCTGCTGATGCTCGTGCTGCTCATTGTCTCCTTTTATTCTACCTGGTACAAAGGCGACAATAGGCGTGTTCCGTTTCTAGCGCGGTGGCCTCTAGGATGGATGCTACTGCTGTGCGCCTCTCCAACCATTGATCTACCCATCTGGTGGAAAGTGAAGACGCGATGGTCTGGACAACACTTGCCCCCAAGGAACATCACGTGACACATCAATATGTTCTGGTCGGGGATGAATGGCGACCAGGAAGCAGACGCAAGCCTCTGCCCGACACATCCTTCAAGAGATAATCATTCCAGACTTTGTTGACCCAAAGATGAGAAATTGTGCTTTCCCGTGTCAGAAACATGGCCAAGAAGTACCGTACAACTTGTGTACGGTTCGGGCGGAACGAACATCCCCTCTGCCTGCGTGTGTGCTACAGGCGTCGGAGTACTGCAGCATGAAGCATGTGCACGAGGCCAAGAGCCGAGAGTGCGCGCGCAGCGAGTGCTCCCGGTGAGTGAGCGCCCTTCCTGCATGAAGCCTGTTTGTGTGTTGTTGCATCGACCATCCTTCCCAATCTGGTTTGATTTCGTCAATCTTCAATACCTTGGTACGGCTACTCCATGGCGTAACGTTTCCTGGCACACGCAAGGCTACCTACTGGCCGAGGTGCAGCAGTCACGCATGCCCTCACATTTTTCATCTCTGCCGGCTCCATGGGGTCAATATTTCCAACTCAATAAAAATATTTTTCTCTTCCAGATGTCTGGTATACTTGTCCCCTGTGTTGATGTTGTTGCTGCTGATTTGCACGTGTTTCCTATCGCAGCCAGTGATTCCGAGCGGTGCGGGGAGGTGCCACATTCCTGTTATTCACGGTAACTTTCCACCCCTCCCCCGCCCATCCCGACCTGGCGAATGACCCAGGACGGCGTTTCTTGCAAACACCGCCGGGCTGCAGTTCTGCAGCCGTGCCTGCGTCAACGAGGCGCTCGGTGAGACTACATCGACAGTGCTAAACCAAACCTTGGATGACGAGACGAACTGCGGACTTCCTGGCTGCCAGCAAAAAGCTCTGCCCGGTGGGACGTGGCGATCCCTCCGCTTCTGCTCTGAAGCTCATCGCATACTTTTCGTGAGTCAAGGACAGTTCTGGAAGAGAATCCCCCTAACAACCTTTAGTGCGTTGAGCAGATTTCCACAATGGGTTGAAACGCGCCTCCTCACATTCACGTTAAACACGAGATGCGAAGCGTTTACTGCGGGATGTCAGCCACGCTCGGGCACTCCATGTACAAGCCATCCGTGTTGAACCTCTCATATTGCTGCGTGCACATTTTCCCGCCAGGCCTTGTCGAATATAGGCTGGATTCGTGTCGCGAGAGCCAAGTGTTTGTCCTTTGGTAGAATCAGGCCGCTGTCCGTCCTTGAAGCAATTCTGTGCTCTCGTTCCACGCCATGGCTTGTACACGCGCGCGCGCAACGAACCAAAACAGGTTCAGCGGACGCCCGTCCCATTCGGACAACCGAGCGCAGAGCCGTATACAACGCAAGTGGTAGTTGCTCGTGACAACACCTCCGCACTCGAGCTGCGCTTCCTTGATGAAGGGCACCCGGAGCATAAGTCGCTGGCTGACCAGTTTACCTCCAAGTGGTTGCATTCGAAACCAAAGCTGGGCGTGGAGGTCTTGAACGTAGTCAAGATCGAGGTACGCACGATAGGTGGTACTTCAGTATCCCCGGGGAGAAGCAACAGGATAGACTTGCAAGATGATGGACTTGTGCGCTGGATTAGTTTCCAACCTCGCAACGTAGTGTAGCATGGACGGCATCGCCTAACCGCGGATGAATCTGGTCGTCTCGACTCTCCGATGCCATTGGATTGCCAGCCTTGTTGCGGTGGTTGGTCAGCCCGGTTTAGCTGTATGTTGCCTCTGATCATTCTCCTTGGTCCCATTCAAAATACTTTCCCTCTGAGCATTTGCGTTTCGTCTGTTCGCAATGGTTTTTCGTTTTCTGCCGTCTGACAAACCCAAACATTATGTTGCTTCCTGATACCAGGTCCCCCGCGAAGTGCGAGAGAGGCACGAAGACTACAAAACGATGGTTCCAAACGTCCGACGTCGATTTCACGGCACTTTCTCCTCTAGAATTTGCCGGTTTTATGTTGGGGTGAGTGCGTACGGTCACAACTTGACATTCACAGCGCATGTGAGAAGACGCTTTTGTCGCTCTTAAAGATAGTACACGTGAGATAGTCTACGGTGTGCGTACGTCTGAATGCCGCTGGTGAGGGTTTGGAGTGTTTCCCTCTGTATTCCACCCGTACCCATGTGGAAGGCAACCCATCTCTCCCTAATCTCCTCAAGAGAGACATCGGCAGAGTCAAGCACTTCGGCGAAACATGCTTTAGTTCTGCTTTTTCCTGTGCGTACAGCTGTTTTGGCCATGTCATTTGAAGTGCCCTTCTTTGGTGAAGTGTTTTTTGCGGCTCCATCTTGGGTCGAAAATGTTACGGAGATGATGTCCGTGCGTACCCCACCGCTGCGGCCCCTCTCGCGTCTGCAGGGATCAATGTGTCTACGCCCTGACTGCGGGCTATGCAATATATGCATGCGCGGCTTTAAGATCGAGGACAACGTCGGCCACTCGCCCGCGAGGGGCAAGAGGCGTCAGTGGCTCATGTACGGGAAGGGGCTCTACTTCAGCAGCGTATCCGGCAAAGCGAATGACTTCTCCGCGGAGACCGAAAAGGTGAATATAGCTCAGAAAGACTGAAGTCGCCACCCTTTCATATCTTCATTCTTCAAAGTCTGTCCACGCTGCATGGTGTTGGTGGTCATGTTGAATTGAAAAATATTCTATGTTGCGTTAGTCTGCAAACCTACTCGCCCGTACTGCATCTTTACTTCACTTGTCTAGATTAAGATTTCAGAGTTAGTTTCCATACGTCGCTTCATTTACCCTCCATGCTGTAGCGGTTTGTACATTCGCCCGGCAGCCATTTGGCGAGTTTCGAACCTTCTCTGCCATATTGGATTGGAGAAACATATTCTGGGAGACCATCTGCAACCAGGACACAGAAATGGCGCGTGATCCAAGCCACTTCCCGACGTGCAACACGCTCACGCCCCAGTCACGGTTCACATCTCGAAGCAAATGACAAATGAGTGAGAGAAGTTCAAATATATTGTCAACGAAGACAGCCAAATCGAGGCTCCGGAACCGTCACGTGCGATGCCAAGAACAATATGATGGTCAGGCGCATCTCTTGCGCAAGATCTAGTCAAGTGGTTGGAAACCTCGTGAAGCTTTTAGTGGCTAGATGAGGAGCTCGAACCTCGGCGGAGTGAATCGAAGTGACATTCTCTGCATATCTCATAAAGCGCTTGCTCTCAAGTATCGCACAGGACCATAGCAGCAACCGAAACCTTATCATGCACTAGCAACATAGCGTACACCGCGGAGGAGTTCCTTTTTGTTCCCCCGGATCGACGCTCTTAAGTTAGTAGAGGCAAGGCCGCTGCGATGGGATAGAAACTGGACGCGAAGGTGTACACATGAGAGGACGAAACTGAGAAACATCACACCGCTTTCTTTCCTAAAGCACGCATCACGCTCGGAACATGGCATCTATTAAATGTGGCGCTCTTCTCCATATGCAAACAATCTCCATTTGGTGTCTCGAGGAGCAAAAAACTTAACCCGATTTCACGTGTGTGTGGGCAGATGCGATCGCACATTCTCACCGAAATCCTGATGCGTGCTGTTCCGCGCGTGGTTTATGTGGGGGTGGAATTTGCTCTGCCTCTGCATCAGCTGGCAACCGATGGCACCACGGTCCGATGCATGCTCGTCGCCGACGTCGCCGCGGGGAAAGCGTTCGTGACTACCGAGAAGTACTTCCCGCAGATGGAGCGGCCACCGTTGGGCTACAACTCTGTAGTTGGAGAGGTAACCTGACACTTCTTACCGGGATTGATTGGTGGACGTAGTCTCCGAAAATCGATGTTCGTTCATGCACAATGCGAACGGGTTGCGGAGAGTGGCTCGGTGGTTGTTCTGCTGTATTGTTGGCACAAAATCATGGACCTTGACCGGTCACCCCTGGCCGTCCGTTTGCCTGCCTCGAATGCAATGTGTCATGTGGGTACTCGAGCCGTTCGTTTTCCATCCCTATTCCTGGAAACAGTCTTGTGCAACCTAGCATGTTTTCTTTTTATCTTTGCGATAAACAATGTCAATCTCCTTCGCTCCTGTTCTGTGTTCCGCTTTCAGGTTGGTCCGCACCTCAACTACGACGAGCTTGTCGTGTACGACCCGGCGGCCGCCCTGCCGACCCACTTCGTCGTGTACCGCAACAAATCACCTCCGCCTGCCTCACCCACCCTCAAAATCGAGAACAGGGAAACAAGCCGAAAACGGCGAGGCGGCCATGTGTCCTCGTCAAGCGAGGGGAAAGTTCGTCGGCTGACGCCTTCGCGGTCTCGACCAAGGCCATGATACACGTGGCAACAGCATGGCACTGACGGGAGATCCCGTGATGAGAGCAACCTGCGGTTCGAGGGAAGTTCTCCAACCTTTAAACGCCAAGGAGGCTAATATTTTCGACTCGGTCGCTCCGATCACTAGACAATCATACTGAGACCCCGCTGGTAAACTGATAAGAAGACCCGGGAGTGAAAACGGGAAGGTTCGCGAACCTACCGATCAGCCAACGAAAAAGATAGCACGGTGTGAGGCCCAGTCACGCGTTGCGAGGGTTGATGGAACTACCGAGTGCGCGGTGTACCCGCGCGCAGTGGTCGTGCCATGGAAACAGGAAACATATCCGGACGATGATGGCCAGAAACACCGTAAACAACGGTGATGACGAAGATACGCGACGAGATGCCTTTAAGTCGTTGGAATCAAAGACCTGTTGTGGGCCCGATCGTCTCATTCTCCGCCAAGTCCTATGTGCACCACGTAGGCACCACGATCTGCCCACACATCTATCGGTGGTTATGAAACTACATCTTGAAACTTTTGCCTCCGGGAAGATTCAAGCAGACATGGACTCAACGGTGGGTAGGCAGATGCCGTTTAGGCTCGCCTCCACGGGTGCATCTCCGGAAAAAAAAAATGGACAAGTCTCGCAGCAAAGAGACGTGTGGCGATGAGCGTTGCGAATGAATGGTGAAGTTCGGGTTATCAGACCGTCCGTGGCACTGCTTGCAAGTTCGTTGCACCGTTGGGCAACAGAAGAGGGTGTACCGGCACGTGTGCAACGCTGCCAGTCTCGATGATGACAGAGAAGCATGGCAATACTGCGTCCACTCTCCTGGGTACTGCTGGAAGTAGGATGCTTTAGTCACTCACAAGTGGTGCTAACATCAGACGCCTCGCCGTTGTTTCGAGAGGAGATCGAAGTGAAGCCCACTTCGCGCTCGCTAGAGCCTCATTTGAACATGTACGAGGGCAGCAGCTGTGGAAGAAGCCGTCTTGTCTTCGAAGCAGGGTGTCCGGCAGTCCGGCAACGATCACAGCAGTCAGTCGGGGTTGTATGCCCGTCGAGCATGGCCGTGTTTTGGAAACCAACATACATACATACCCTTTCTGCTGTTGTTGTAGGAGTGGCGATCAACAATAATCCGTCCCAGCAGAAGGCGATCAGACAGAAGAGTGATGAGGTGACCATGGAAAAGGGAGGGGAGGAGGAACTACGGGCAAAAAGACGAGTATGTTGAGTAGCGCAGAGGGACCCTCAAGATGGGGAATCGCAGTGTCCGAGCTTCCCCCGAAAAAGACAAAAAATAAAATGTGGTAGCCGGTTGTGGTCACTGGCGGCTCGGACATCTGACGACGCCAAGAACGGCCCCTGTTTCCCATGGGATGCAGCGCAACTTTACAACAACTCCTGCTGTAGTGCTGATCCGAAAGTCTAGTAACGATATTGAGTGAGTCTGCCTACCAAGTCGTACACCCACCAAGTTCTGAGGGATCCGGCATATTCTACAGGTGGTCAACAACTTGTGCGTGAAGTTGATTGTAGGGGGTGGTATATTCCGACATATATCGGGAATCTCACAGTCCCGCCAACACCGACGCCAGTACGGTCGTTTTTTTTTTTTGGTGTGCACAGCTGGGTGATGTGCTTACCAAGGGATCCTCCACGCACCGAGCATCTGGCCCCTTTCGTTGGGTTGATCAGATCGTGAACCGAACAGGGGCGATTTCGACGGCTATGGGGCTGACAAGGTAAGTGTGGGAGCGGTCGGGCTACAGCAGTACTTCAACATGATCGCCTCGGTTTCATCTAAAAACTGGCTTTATCGCGCGCGCAGAGGGGCGCGGACTCAGGGCCCTGCGCATACTCAGTGACCCCTGTACGAGAAATCGAATGAATGTTGGCCCTGCCCGTCTAGCGTGCATCCCACTGCGATCTCTCTGACACGTAGCTCAGGAGGTCACCCCGATGCGGCGTAAGTGCTTGTTTGTTTGCAAATTCGCTTGTTAATTTAACACAGTTTGCTACAATATAGACCCCGATCGTCGATCGTGTCCTGTAGACTTTGTTCATCAAGATTCCTCGCGTTTGGTGCGCGCTGCTACATTGTGATACCCAGGGCAGTGGAGCCCCGATGACATACTGTAAGACGAGTACATACACCTTTGCAGCTCGGGGTGTCCGCCCCCTAATCCTCACGCGAGTTCACACCAATACCTGTTGCGAAACCCGAATTCAAACTGGCTTTATTTTCAGCTCTGGGGTACAAAGATGCAACCGACCCTGTGCGAACTCGCTGCCCTGTGCAACCTCACGCATTTTTACAGTACCCCTCTCCGCTATTTCAGACGAAACGAGACAGTGTGCCAGCTACGGGGCTGTACGGAGAAGCGAGTTCGGGAGCAGGACGTGTTGCACAACTTTTGCAGTAGGGGTCATGCGCAGCTGGCCAAAGCCCGCGGAGAGTGGCCGTCCCATGCTAACAGGGGGTCATCGATGTGTCAACTGCCGGGTTGTAAGGAACCCGTTCATTGCGATCCTGATACCGGCAAGGTACGATAGTCCTGCAGCTCGTGCTACTCATTTTACTCAGGGCATTCTTCAGTACCTTGGGTACAAAGGTAACACCGGGCGTCTTGCGTTTCTAGCGCTGTGACTTCCAGGACGGACGCTACTGCTGTTGTGCTCTTTCGATGCAGTGATCAACCAATCTGGTAGAAAGTGACAACGCGATGGTCTGGGCAACACGTGCCCCCAAGGAACATCATGTGACACAACAACATGCCCTGGTCGGCGAAGGACGGCGACAAGGAGGGACACGAAGAGGGTTGACACATTGCTTGTTGCCCAGGCCGTACAATGTGGTGTATCCCCACCAGAGTGCATCCAAATAGTCGCACTTCTATTCGCTAGGACTGGGTACAAGCCACATCCTCCAGGAGAAGTTCAATGGAAGCTCAAAACCCTCCAAGAGAAATTGCGATTTCCCGGGCAGAAACCTGACCAAGAACTGCCGTACAACATGTGTGGGACGGTTCGGGCAACATAAACAAGTTCCCGCTGCTTGATATTACAGGCATCGGAGTACTGCAGAATGAAGCATGTCCACGAAGCCAGGAGCCGAGAATGCGGGCGCAGTGAGTGCTCCCGGTGAGCGAGCGCCCGTCCTGCATGAAACCTGCTTATGGATTGTTGCGTTGACCACTCTTCTCAACCTGGTTAGATTTGCATCGTCAGTCAACACTTTGATACTTGATCTCTTCTTATGGTGAAACGTGTCGTTGCTTGTAACTGGTGACCAACGTTTGGTACATATCAGGATCGAGGCATCACCGCAGCAGTCACGAATACGCTCATTGTTTCTTCTCTGCCGACTCCATGGGGTCGATATTGCTCATGGTTGTTCCCGAAATCTCAGTTCAGCCTTCTTCGGGCTCTGTGCCGCTGTAGCTGATTTGCACGCGTTGGACATCGTTCCACCGGTCGTAGGCAGCAATTCGGAGCGTCACCGGAGGTGTTGCTTCCCTGTTAACCATGCCCCTTTCTCCCCCCCCCCCCCCCGAACCGAGAGCCATCGGGGTTGCGTTTTCGTCGCAGGGCAACGACGTTCTCAAACACGTCGGTCGTTTTTTGAGCTCGACAACCAGGTTACCCTTTTTTTTTCCTCTGTGTTTTCTTGCGGTAACCGTGGTGGTGATCGAGTAGATTATGTTGCGGGGTTGAGTCCTCGCAAGGGGAATGATCGTACCACGTTGTATTAAATTGGTCAAACACCCTCCAGGAACTTACACGCGCTTGTAACTGTCTCTGGAAGTGAAAGCACCAGAAACAAATCGTGTGATTCGCAGCTGTAGACTAATCCGTATGCAACGAAGTAAGCGCAAGATGCCGAACACCCTTAGCAGGATGCAACGCACCCTCTATGTGACTCACCGAATACCTCACGGCGCTTCGAGCTTGGTGATGTGAGAGCCTGGTCCAGTGACAACCCGGCATGCTCCGTTCCAAGTTTGTAGGGATGCGACGTCAATGCTCTAACAACTACATGTACGGCATACACGGCTATGAGTACACCCGCCTCACCCTCCCATCCCGACCTGGTGAATGACTCAGGACGGCATTTCTTGCAAACACGGCCGGGCGCCAGTTCTGCAGCCGCGCCTGTGCCAGAAAGGCGGTCGGTAAAACAATATGGACAGCGCTCATCGAAAACTCGGGTGGCGAGGCGTACTGCAGGCTTCCTGATTGCCCACAAAAAGCCCTGCCCTGTGGGACATGGCGGTCCCTTAGCTTCTGCTCTGAAGCTCACCGCATTTTTTTCGTGAGCAAAGAGCAGTTCCGGGAAGAGTGGGAGATTCAGCCCCCTATCCCCCTCACAACCTTTAGTGCGTTGAGCATATTTCTATATGGCGACAGTGGGGTTGAAAACGCACCCCCTCACCTGCACGTTGACCACGAGACGCTGAACGCTTGCTGGGGGAATTCCGCCATGATCGGGAACTCCAGGTACAAACCATCCGTGCTGCACCCCCGGATTGTTGTGACAACAATTTCCTTCGTGGGGTTGTCGGTAGCGGCTGACTTCGTGTGGTGAGAGCCAAGTGTTTTCCCTTTGGCAGAATCATGACGCTGTTCGTCCTTGAAGCCATTCTGAGCTCTAGTTTCATCGATCCTTGTCTCGCACTGGGAATGCGATGACTTGTACACACGCGCGCGCAATGAAACGAAACAGGCTCAGCGGGCGCCCGTCCCATTCAGACAATGGAGTGCAGAGCCGTACACAACACACGTGATGGTTGCTCATCAGACCACCTCATCCCCGCTCAAGCTGCACTTCCTCGACGAAGGACACCCGACGCACAAGTCGCTGGCTGACCAGTTTACCTCCAAGTGGTTGCACTCGAAACCGAAGCGGGGCGTGGAGGTCTTGAACGTAATCAAGATCGAGGTACGCGCCAGTTTACCTCCAAGTTGGTGCACTCGAAACCGAAGCGGGGCGTGGAGGTCTTGAACGTAGTCAAGATCGAGGTACGCACGATTGTTGGCACTTCAGGATCCACGGGGAGAAGCAGCAAGATGGACTTTTCCGCTGAATATTTCCTATTTCACAACGTAGAGTAGTAAGGGCGGCACCACTGAACCGCGGATGAATCTGGTCTTCTCGATTCTCCGACGCTACTGTATTCCGCAGCCTTTTCCCCGCTGTTGTTCAACATTGTTCGGCTGTTTGTTGCCTCTTATGGTCCTCCTTGATAGTTTTGCTTCACTTGTTTTGTCGCGTTTCACACGTGTTTTTCGTTTTCTGCCGTTCTGCCGTCGGACAAACGCCTCCTGATGCAGGTTCCCCGCGATGTTCGAGAGAGGCACGAGGACTACAAAACAGCGGTTCCGAATGTCCGACGCCGATTTCACGGCACTTTCGCCTCAAGCAGCTGCCAGTTTTACGTTGGGGTGAGTGCTGGCGGTCACTCACAGCGCGTGTGAGGAAGCGCCGCTATGCGCACTTTGAGAGACTACACGTTTGCCTCGATATGGATCGGGCGGTCTACAAGGCCCCGTTTGTCCGTCTCAAAGGTCTTGGTGAGATTTCGTCATGCATCTCTCTGCGCTCCATCCGTAGTCATGCGGACAACGAAGACATCTCCCTTGCTTTCCCCAACATAGGCACTGGCAGAAATCAAGCACTTGGGCAAAACATCTTCTTCGTTCTGTTCGCGCTGTGTCCGCGATGCGATCCTGGACATAAGTGTGCTTGAAGCGCATTTCTTTGGCGACGTGTCTCCTGCCCCCTGTGGGGTCGAAACTGTTACGGAGATGATTGTCGTGTGCACCCCCAACCCGATACTGCGGCTTCTCTCGCGTCTTCAGGGACCCATATGTCTACGCCCTGACTGCGGGCTATGCAGCATATGCACGCACGGCTTTGAGCTCGGGGATAACGTTGGCGAGTCACCAGCGAGAGGCAACAAGATTCACTGGCTCATGTACGGGAAGGGGCTCTACTTCAGCAGCGTGTCCGGCAAAGCGAATGACTTCTCCGCAGAGACCGAAAAGGTGAGTATGGCTCAGAAAGACTGAGGTCGCCGAACTTCAGATCTCCATTGTTCAAATCATGTCCACGTTGTTCATGGTGTCGGGGATCATTTTGAGGTGACTCATTGTTCATCTGCGAACCGACTCGTCCTAGTTTATTTTGCACTTCGCTAGACGTACGGTAGTCCGGAATTGGTCGGTTGGTGGGGTTTAGAATTGAGCGTCTGCTGCGACACCTACAAAGCTTAATTTGCCCTCCTAACCGTGCCATCGACTAGGGTTTCCTCTCAGACGCAACTCAATGCATGACGATGGGCTTCGTGCACGATAACACGTGATTCGCCCGACAGCCATTTGGCGAGTTTCGAACCTTCCCTGCCGTATAGGATTGAAGCAAAATTTTCTGAGACCATCAGCAATCAGGAAACAGAATGACTCGTTATGCAAACCACTTGTCGATGTGCAACACGCTCGCGCCCCAGTCACACTTCACATCTCGAAGAAAATGAGTTATCAAAGTTAAAAAAAGTGTTCAACGACGACAACGGTAATACCTTCCAAATTGAGGCTCGGAAACCGTCACGTGCAATGTCAAGAACAATGTGATGGTCAGGCACCTATCTTCCGTAGAATCTACTCAAGTGGTTGATACCTTCGTGTACTTTCTAGTGGCTAGGTGAGGAGCCCGAACCTCGGTGGAGCTACTTGAAGTGCATTTCTCGGCTCTTCGTCTGGAAGCGCTTGTTCTCGAACATCGCACAGGAGCGAAAGAGCAACCGAACCCTTGTCACGCAATGGCACCATAAAATATACCGCAAGAAGGAGTTCTTCTGTGCTACCTCGGGTCGAAGCTCTTAAGTTAGTAGAGGCAGCTATCGGTGGATAGAAACTGCATGCGAAGGTGTACCCATGGGAGGACGAAACTGAGAAACATTGTACCGCAACAATATTTTCTGGCCTAGAGCATGCATCAGGCTCGTAACCCTGCATCTAGTGGCGCTCTTCTGTTATGGAGGGACAGAGAAATATAAGAGGGAAGGGAGCAAGTTCGATGCTCCTGGCTTCGGGTACTCACAGTTGTTGTTTGATCTCTTGTTTAGCCTTCTTAGACCAGGTCCGCTCAGCGCCCACTCGGAGAGTGAGGGAACGGGGCTGGGATTTTGATCTTCCTTCAAGCTACTTCAATACCCCTCAACGTCGCCAAATATCCATATCCAAAGAAAATTAAAAATATCCAACAAGCGCTCATACAACGCTCATGAAACGCTCGTACAATGCAAATACACTACTTGCTCCATTACGTTAGCCCACCCTGGGAAGTCGTAGATGCAGATACTTTATCTTCAATCCAATACTCAACCTCAAATAAAGATCGAAGATGCGACTTTCCAAATCAGACAAAATAAGATAAAATAAAAGCAACTAGAGTCGGAGGAAATAGTTCATCCCCGACAAATACTCCAAACCATCCCCACGCCACACAGTGATGACTACTGAGAATCACATCGCCAACGACGGAACCAATCTGAATCAAAATGGGATTCGGTCGCGTTGGGCACGCAAAGGTCGGGATGACTATTGCAACAATGGAAGAAGCTCACACCACCCAAACACGCGCTAGCGTACCACTGCGTACGATGTAGAACAACACAAAAAAAACATGTAGCGGCCCGTAGGCGGCATTATATCAAAGCACAGATCCAGATGGGGCAACAGCCAGCTGTGCCACAACGCCTGGTGTTCGCGACGTAACGCCATCATCCGTGGAAGGGTTGGTCATACCACGAGTACGGTGTTTTGGCAAGCACCAAGAACCACAAGGAGCATCCAAAACCGTGGAGTACCTATACTCTGGGAGAGAAAGCTTTCGAGGGCCGGGGGTGTCCAAAAATCGAACAATGTACTGGCCTGTTACGAAACTACTAATCTGCCCAAGCCACCAAATTCCATCCAAAGCTTTGTACCAAATGTGGGCTCCGACAGGCAAAACAGAAACAGAGAAGCGAGCCAACCAAATGTCACGCGAAACCAACTCGGACCCAGGAGCAATGAAACGTTCGGCCAGATTCCGAGCAAGTTCTCGGTCGGCCGAAGCTATCCGAGCATTACGATAAGCTCGGTTTCCTTGTACGCGCTGACTAGCGTTACCAGACCAGTAAAGCAGAATGTGTTTTCTGTATTCCTGCAAATCAGACTCCCTTTCCCACGACGGTGTCAACAAACCAATCCAATGAGTCAGGTACAAGACAGCTACCACACCACCGCGTCCACGTACAATTTGGTGTCCCGAAATATTCTCAACATCCAGACGACTAGACTCCGCTAAAATATCATCAGCAGTCAAATTATACGGGGGAGACTTGTTACTATACGAATGGCCATGAGGACACGCTTGTGAAAGGGGGCATACCATCCAGCCACCCATGAGGGTTACTTGATGGACTGCTTGCCGGAGAGATCAGCGACCGACAGGATTTCAGCCAACACACTTTCGGTCGAACGAGCGAAGGCAGAAAATTCTGCCGGGGGAAGCGGCACTACCGCATACAATTCGTTCACTTTAAGCTTGCCGTATCCTTTGCGCACGCTGAGGGCGTACGCCTCTGCGGCGGCAAGGCCGTTTACATCAAGCTGTGCCTGCGCGGTGCGTGCACCGGCAGACGACAGGGGCAGTGCCCGGTCATCAGCGGAATCGCTGGCGGCCGCGTGCACGGCCGGCCTCGCTACCGACACCGCGATAGCCGAGACCGGTGGTTCCTGTGGCGAAACACGTTGGGAGGGCGTCGGTACCACCCCAGAAACCTGTGTCGTCTCCTTTTTCACAACGGAGGCGGGGGGCGGTACCTCTATTTTCACGGCGGCAAATGTCCTGCCGACGACGCCACAATGTTACGAAGGGACAGAGAAATATAAGAGGGAAGGGAGCAAGTTCGTTGCTCCTGGCTTCGGGTACTCACAGTTGTTGTTTGATCTCTTGTTTAGCCTTCTTAGACCAGGTCCGCTCAGCGCCCACTCGGAGAGTGAGGGAACGGGGCTGGGATTTTGATCTTCCTTCAAGCTACTTCAATACCCCTCAACGTCGCCAAATATCCATATCCAAAGAAAATTAAAAATATCCAACAAGCGCTCATACAACGTTCATGAAACGCTCGTACAATGCAAATACACTAGTTGCTCCATTACACTTCTCTATATGCATACAATCTCCATAGTCTCAAGGAGCAAAAAACTTAACCCGATTTCACGTGTGTATGGGTAGATGCGGTCAGGCATTCTCACCGAAACTCCTGATGCGTGCCGTATTCGCGCGTGGTGTGTGCGGGGGTGGAATTTGCTATGCTTCTGCATCAGCTGGCAGCCGATGGCATCAAGGTCCGATGCATGCTGGTCGCCGACGTCGCCGCGGGGAAAGCGTTCGTGACCACGGAGAAGTATTTCCCGCAGATGGAGCGGCCACTGTTGGGCTACAACTCTGTAGTTGGAGAGGTAACCTGACACTTCTTATCGAGATTGGTGGACGCAGTCTCCGAAAAACGATGTTCATTCATGCACAATGCGAACGGTTTCCAGAGAATGACTCGGTGGTTGTTCTGCTGTTATATTGGCATGCAACCATGGGGCGCGTCTAGTTGTTATCACGCGCCCACCTCTGTCCATCTGCTTGCCTGCCTCGAATGCAACTTTTGTGTATCCACACGAGAGGCGTGCGTTCCTTTTTTTTATGCAATGGTGCAATCAACGGGTTTTTTCCCCTGCTATCAGGAGTGACATCTGCGTGCTCTTCCGTTTGGGTTTTCTGCTTTCAGGTTGGTCCGCACCTCAACTACGACGAGCTTGTCGTGTACGACCCGGCCGCCGCCCTGCCGACCCACTTCGTCGTGTACAGGGTATAAGGACCCCCGCTGCCTCACCCAACTTCGAGATTGAGGACGGGGGGACGGGCAATGAGCGGTTCCATATGTAGCTCCAAACGCACCAACGACCAAGGAAGAAACAAGCGCGGTGATGAGGGCCGATCACACTTGGCAAGGGGTTGACGGGGCCCACAGGTGGCCGGTGGGGCACGTTATGGGAGGTCATGCCCGCGCATAACCTGCCCGGGTTGGATATACGCTGTATAACCTCTTCATGCTGGGTTACCAACCGCCGGTTTTCTATCGGGTTAGGAAATCAATTTTAACCTTGCCTTGTCGGGCTGGCAACCTCGATCCAAAACAAATGGGTGCAAGCTCGCCCGCAGCTGGGTGACAATCACCCCACCCAGCGACGCGAGCCTTCGCGTCGAGGCCAGGAACAATCCCACACAAGGATTACGAAGCACACACACAAGGAAGGAGTACACCACACGAGGATGATGATTGGGCGATAAACAAAAAAAAATATGGTACTCCCTCAGGTCCGAAACGTGAGCTCGATCACGTAAGCCGGGGGATCCCGCACGCAGTAAAAGTACGCCGGGGAGAGGGGCGAAATTATCTCGAAGGCGAATGACATACATACGCGCAGTAAGGAGGAGGTCGGGGGTTCGATCCCCGCAAAACATATATATTTTTTCCCAAAAAACCAACAAATTTTACGCGAAATAATTTCGAAATTTCTCGCGAGGGCATAGGCATATGATATGCGTAGTACGGAGGAGGTCAGTACTTCGGTCCCCGGAAAACATTGTTTTTTTCTTCGCAAAACCAAAAAAGTAAGCGCGAAATTTATCGCGAAGACGTATGACAAGCGTAGTTCGTGTAAGGAGGAGGTCGCGAGTTCGATCCCCGCAAAATATGCTTTTTTTTTCCCAAAACCAACAAATTCTGCGCGAAATTTCGAAATTTCCCGCGAAGGCGTAGGCGTATGATATGCGTAGTACGGAGGAGGTTGATACTTCGGTCCCCGCGAAAAAAAAGTTTCTTCCCAAAACCAAAAAAAGTAAGCGCACAATTTATCGCGAAGGCGTATGATACGCGTAGTAAGGAGGAGGTCGGGAGTTCGATCCCCGCAAAACATGTTTTGTTTTTCCCAAAACCAAAAAATCCTCCAGGAGCATTTACAAAAAACACACACACACACGTTTAGGCCTCTCCGAGTGCTTCATTTTTCCAACCTGACGCTTTGCTTACGGTCAACACCAAAGACAACCACGACAATCGAAAATGGCGGTCTACGGCCATACCGTAGTGGCTGTGCCCTTATCCTGCCATGACCTTCCTCGCGAAAATATCCCGACCCGCCTGTCCCCCAAAGAGGCTCTGGTGGGCCCGGAAGTGCTTTTTGCAGGCTGCCCCCGACAATACACGTCCTAAAGCAAGCAGAATCATTCTCCACAGCAGCTCAGCTTTCACCGGCCAAGCACTACGCCACCGCTCTCGGCGGTTCCGGCACCCCTTCTCTCGGGACGCAAGTACCGTGGCACGACGTCTTCGGCTGCTCGGAGTATCTTTTTTATGACATGGCGAGTTGGGCATGTGCTGAGAGCGTTTCCGAGCCGAAGTTTGGCGTGACGATGTTCTGTTTTGTCCCTCCGAATATGCAGGCTCCTGGCCCGGTTTGAGTTCCAATGTTCGCCTTCTCTACCTTAGTTCCCTGGCATTTGGTTGCTGCGACTCGTATTGCACGTGTGTTTTTTGACACGGTTGCTCCGCCTCATCGAGACATGTGTAGTCCGGGTTGTCTCGGCCTCCGGGTGACTTGATAGAAGCAGATCCAAGTCACTTTGGGGAGATCGCCGCACTGCTCACTATCGCCTTCAGACTTGGAGCTAAACTATTCGTGGAACATAGCCTTCGCCCGAAATCAAAGCTGCTCCTTCCCGATGTTGTCTTCAGGCAAATTGTACTGTAGCACAACGGATGTGGTGTCGTTATTAGGTCTCCCCAGTGCTTTGCTGTACTTTGTGCCCGGTTGTTCGGTCGTTTGGCGAGGTTATCGTTTGGGTCATCCATCCCACCCTTCTCCCCCGTGGATGAAACTGGTCGCAGGTCATTCTCCCCCTCGCCAAGGAGTTTCTGGACGAGATTGGCGCGCAGCTCGGGTCAGCGGTTAGCGTCTTCCGGCAATCCCAGGGAGGGGATGACTCCGAGTCCGACGAGGATGACTGCACCGAAGACCCACCGGGCTTCAACACCCGTCGCACCATCCGGGAGCTGATCAAGACGAAGGGAAAGCTTCCCCCGGGCGGCGGCGACAAGCACCACAAGGCCTTCCTCGCGCGGTAAGACTCCCTCGCTCGAACCTTGTTGCCTCTGTACACTTTTCGTAGTCTGTTGTTGAGCAAGTGCGTGTTGACACTCGTGGTAGCGGAGGGTTATCACGAGGTAGTTTTTGAGTCGTGTATGTCCTGAGCCTACATCCAAGGGTGCAGCGGTGCAGCAACCGCGGACTTGTCCTTCCGCAAGTAGATTTTTCGGCTCAGCATTCTTACCGCTGACTCTTTTTCGGTTGCCTCGCCCAACCCATATGCATCACAGGTTTAAGGTCATTATGCTCGACTTAGTCCAGGAAGCTCGGGGCGAACTGCCGGCAGCTAACAAATGCTCGCTGGAAGTCGCCGAGGATTTTTTTTTTCCTTACAACTACACCGACGGCGTTCTGGGTGGCGACGACGCTGGCGGTGACGCTGGCGGTAACGCTGGCGCTGGCGCTGGCGCTGGCGCTGACGCTGACGCTGACGCTGGCGGTGGCGGCGTCGACGAGGAGAGCAGCGACGGAGAGGAGAGCAGCGATGAAGGGTCCGTCCAGAACGACCAGGAAAACGCCGACACCGAGTCGGAGTACGAAGAAGGGACGGGTGCCGGCGACACTGAGACGGAGGACCGGAAGATTCATCTAGGCGAGAACCGATGTTGTCTTGTGCAGTGCATCCTGTTCGTTCAACTTGTTCTTCCACAGTGGCGGTAGAAAGATACGTGGGGTGTCTCGAGGTATCTCAAGGCTAGGAGGTTGGGTATGTGCATTCGTTGGCGATTATCTGCTTTCCAACGACCTTTAGTTCAGTGTATTCCAACTCTTCAATTTCGCGAGACAAGAATAATCCTTTGGAGCTTTTGGGTCGCTGACGACACCAGTTATTGACAGTACTGTACCCTTTAGTATGCTACATATGTAACACATTTCCACTGGAGTATGTTTGAACTTCCCGAGTTCTTTGGTAGCCCAAGGCCAAGCCCTTAATCGACACTTTTGTTCACGGTGATCGGCCGACCGTCTGTAAAACCCTGTCGTTTCTACTCAAAACCAAATGGGCCGATCGATGACACCGTCGCCGGTTTGCTTGTTTTGAACTGCCTGCATGTTTTTCAGTCACGTGAGGGAAGAGTTAACGTCAGCGCGACAACGGCGTGGCGAACATCTTCTTCAAAAGCCCGGCGAGACGACCGGCGTGTGTTTCTTCTGTTCTCTGGCATCGGTCTGGCGCTACCGTCGCGGCAATTTTTTTCGACGGGTGGGGAAGGGGGGCATGTACACGCCCTATGCTTTTTGTGTTTCGGTCAATATCCAGACTATTTCGTATGTGCGGACGGAATGGGTGTTGACGATGGCCTGCGCCGTTGCTTGTTTGCGTTGCGGAAAGTCCAATTGATCGGGTGGTACAGGTTGGTCGGGATTTTGTGTGGAGCCTGGGTGAGTTGGGGAAAAGTGGGCCAGGGAGGGCGGCTGGGGGGGGGGGGGGTTCCATCATTAAGGTTGTTAACGGTTGTTGAAAGCTTCAACCTCGGGCGGTGACTTGAAGCCCGCGTTAGCGACCGCCGTTTTTTTCGATTCGCTGGCATCTGTGACGTGCTCACACGTCGCCGAAGGGGCACGATTGAGGTCGTTTTGTCAAGGCCAACTGCTGTATTTTTTTTTTTTTCTTGGGTAGTCGGTCAATCTCCGGACCGTATAGTATATGCGGAGAAGTTTCTACGGGGGCGTGTTTCCTCACTCGTACCGACTTTAGTAAAATGAACTTTTGCTCTTCTCTTGGCTTCCTTGGTGCAATTGCTTGTTTGTGCGGGAGGTCGAGAAGTGGTGAGCCGGTCGAAAAACTTGTGTGGAGCCCGCTCATGGCTGTGTATGGCTAGGTATGCATATTATTTTTTTTTGTACGTCATCACGGTTCTTTGTTCGGGAAGCCGCGGCCATCTTGTCCGCCCTCGTTCCGCCGTAATTATCTCGCGGTACACGTACAATCTATTTTGCGTCGTGCGTACCCTAAACGAAGCACGGGCCACGATTGTGGTTGCTGGGACCTTGGTTTGAGGCGTCGTTTATTTGTGTCTGCAGAATAGGCTATTGTATCGTTTTTTTTTGCCGGAGTGTCATGCGCTCACCACGGTGTTGACGCACGGGAACCTGCATATGTGCAACTACGCGCTAACGCATTAACGACCGACGAATTAATACAAAAGAACACAAACCTGGTACCTGTTATCCGGCTGCGAACGTTTGTCCCGAGGGGCAGAACAACGTTGCATGATGAGAGGGCACAATCTGGCGACGTTGTGAGCCAAGGCTTTCTCTAACCCACGAGGTTATGCTGTGTGTGCTTACCTGACCTGGCCAGGTTATGCCACCGGGGTAAGCAACCTGACCAGGTTATGCCACCGGGGTCAGCAACCTGGGACGTTGTATTAACTGCAAATAGAGTGCTTTTTTTTCGGCATTGTACAATGGTGCATATAATGTGCACGTTGGCCACCTGTGCCACCCGGCCGGCGGTGCACCGATCCACAACCATCATTCTATCCAGCGAGTAGGATAAGTCCTTACCGGACCGAATACCGCGGAAGCAACGGCGATGAGGAAGATTCGCGATTAGACGGCGCTAAATCGTAAATAGAGCGACCCGTGGTGGGCCCGATCGTCCCATGGTCGCGGCCCATGGTTTTCAAGACCGGAGGACCGAGACGACCTGCCCACACACATCTACGGCTAAGGGCCCGGCGACCATGAAAGGCATTGGCTCCGGGAGTATCGAAAGGAGCCGTGGATTCAACAGTGGTTTGGGCAGATGTTGGTTCGAGTCGCAGCAGATCCGCCTCCAGGTACACCTTCGGAAACGTCTCACGGCAAGGGAGACGTGTGGCGATGACGGGTTACGCCTGGAGAATTTCTGGTTGATCAGGCGATCTGGGAAGCATTCTGCCTTCAGGGCAACAGAAGGGCTACCCGCACGTGTGCAACGCCGGGAACCTCGGCGACGCCAGAAAGGCACGGCGATACCGCTTCTCGCTCCCCAAGGATATTGGGAGTCAACCGGTTGATGACTCGGTGCTTGACGGCTGGACGGTAGCCTATTGCTGCCGAAATCCATATTAGACGCGCCGATGCCAACCATAGTTGTGACGAAAATATGGTTGGACTATCGTGTGGGTAGCAGAACACTATCGTAATATTGAGTGTATTCGAAAAAAAAACTACTCGGAGGACATCGCGTAGGCTGAGTTAGAACCAAGATATCGTTTGTGTTCAGAGAAGACGAAGGCACCCCATGTGACCGCAGCCGGTTTGCGTGGCCCGAGGATCGTTTCGACTCTAGTAGTGGATAGTAAAAAACGCCCACCCTTGGTACAAAAAGGGGCGTGGACTTGCCTCAATGTTCCAGGACACCAGCAGATTGGAGCTACCATGCCACCTGTTCGTTGTCCGGAGACGGCAGTCTTACCAACAAGCGCTGACGGGAGAATGGATTATTGCATGAAGTGGGTGAGGACAATCGATAGCGGCGGAGCACAACCGCCGCAGCAGGCTGAAGGGTTGCTCACGTCTGTGGCCAGCCAAAGAACATCGTGCGACACGATGACACATTTCCCCCCCCAAGTGTGATGCGTTAAAGTTGCGGAGTGGGGTTATAGTTCTAGTATATCCTTGAAGTACTAGTGTTACCAACACGCCATGTCCGTACCTTGAACACCTTGATGGCAATGCATTAGTTATCAAGTGCTCGAGGAGGATGCTGTCGGGTTTAGATGGTCTAATCGTTTCCTTGAAACCGTTGCAAGGGCAAGGCTACGGCAGATCTAAATACCGGCGTACACAATTTGGTCTTGAGGTGGTGTTCAGGAGCGTTTCGAATCCGACCCGATTCGTGACAATGGGAAAAGGATTGCGGAAGGAACCTTCCTCCAGATGGAAATGAAGGGATGCACAGCAGAGGAATGATCTGCGTTGATATATATCGTAGCTCCTCGGTATAGAGGAGGAGGATATCGTGAACGACGGCAATAGGTCAGACGATTTAACGACAAGGAGAGCCGTGAGGCAGAAACTGCGTATTGACAGGTAGGTGTGCCCTCTCGTGCGGTAGAATATAAAACAACAGATATTTTGTCTAAGGCTTTAATCTCAATATTAATTAGGTCATGCATAACTCACCTGGGCAGAGATATTGCACTATATCTGCGGAGAACGATTTATGTAGAACAGCAGTCAAGCAGAGTACCACTAGAGGGCGATTGGCGACGTCTAACAGCGATCACACAGTCCCTCGCAAGCTCGGAAATCGACGTATCGGGTTCAGCACTCACAGGGATTTGCACTTGGTGGGCAAAGGCACAGGATCTGGCTCAATTGATCTTTCGCTCCGGGGGCGGTGTAGACACCGGGTTAGGTTTGGGGGCACGCACCGAGGAAGAGGCGGTTGCCCCCAGGGGTCGGGGGACACGTACGCTGGACCCCTCCAGCAGGCTGGATCGGGAGAAATGTTGGTCTGTCTGATTCCCAATCATGTCGGCCAACGCCGTCCGGATAATCGCGACCATGCGAGGTATCCATCATCGTATTTCGAGAACCGGTGAGGACGACCGGCCGTACGTAACAAAATCCCTAACGTCGGACTACCTCTTCCAACTGGATGCATGTTTCCTCGAGGAGCTACTTACACATTTGTGTTAGTGGAGGCATGGCGGGAATTGCAGAAGTAGGTGTCCCTACGGGTTTCCTCCGGAAGGATTGACTCTTCCGCTGTTGACATCATCCGAGCGCAGCAACAGCTCTTCGCCCTCGTTGTTGTTGTTGTTGATGTTGTTGTCTTCGCAATTAAAGTCATTCCGGCCTCTTCTCAGTACCTTCTATCGTATTACCGTACCGGTCCAACCGAACGTGGACGCCTTCCTTCCGTGGTCAGAGGTCAACACAATACTAGGGTACCATACCACACTTGGCGGAATGTTAGGAAAGGACATAGCGCAAAATTGGCCCCGAAAACTCATCACTGATAACCTAGTACACAGGAGGCCAGGAAAACGTAAGACCCCGTCCAGAAAATAGTCAGACGTCGCTGGCGATGTATCGGGCACATGTGCATATACAAACAAACAGATGATGAGAGCCAATCGCCCACCCCACTCAAAACGCGACACCAAATTAACAAAAAAACAAAAAAAAATACACTGCCTGACGATTCTGTCGTTGCACTCTGGCTGGGGTATATTCCCCACCTCGGATATACCGGCAACGCTATGTCCCCACACAGTTGGGCTTAGGAGGCTCAAGACGCCAAGACACCAGTGATGATGCTTATCAGTCGTAAAGCGCAAAAATACTCTGAACTATTGATACTATGAGTCACACCATGTTCAAGAATACATATTATAGAACACCTGTACGGATGGGCAGAGGCGTAACACACGAACCTCTAATTAGAAACCGCATCATACTTTCACCACATGGGGCCCACAAATACAACCACCAATTGGCATTTTAAATAAAAAAACCGTTCGTCACTTCTCTCCAAAAAAAAGTGAGGTGTCTCTCGCATCTTGCGTCGAAAACCCCAAACGTCGAGCCTTGACACACACATTTCCTCCGTTCCCTCTTCCGAGATTCTCGCTCTCCGGCAGTGACTTCAAAAAAAGACATATTGGCCCGCAGAACAGTTCCTAACAAAGGTTGACAGCCTCCGGACGACAGCCACATTCCTGAACACCCAGTTGAAAGCAGTTCGAATGAGTTTCGTCGGTCTGTCATCCCCCTGCCTTACTTACCCGGAGGCGGGATAGATTCGTGGAGGCGGCGTCAGAAGCGAGCGCTTTCATTTCTTCTCCAGGAAGGCGTCCAGCTTGCGGTTGAGGTCGTCGGGTTGATCCACCGTGACCCAGTGCTTGGAGCGTGTCATGGCGACGGACAATGATCCTTCCTTGTCGTTGACCTTCTTGGCCCACCAATCGGCGTGGAACGGCTGCACGTATACGTGTCGGTATGTAGACAGCACAGACAAAAGGGGAGAGAGAGTTGACACATGTACTATGTATTGCCGCCAGATAGAGCAACAAAGCATGTGTGTTGGATGCGTTCGTGCGAGTTAAGCGCCCAGACGGTCAGAAAAAATGTAGAGTGAAGGATTTCTTGCGCCCTCATGTACGTGAAACAAACTCGGGCAAAGGAAACTCTACGGCAGCACAGGGGCTCTGGGCACACCGGGTTGTAGGACAACACGTCAGACTCGTTCTTCACCTGTGGTGAGTACTTGTGGCGTAGTCGAATCATGTTTCAGAGCTATTCTCAACGGAGACAACACTCGTCCCCTAGAAAAGAACAACCAACGAGCTCACCATCACCCTCTTGTACCCGGCAGTTCCGTAAGCAAACAAGAGAGGCGCCCCCGGCATGAGATTCCCCATGGGCCCCTGACTTTTGTCCAGCTTTCGCTTCCAATAGTGGTAGTACGGGTAGCAGGACCTGGCCGTTGCCACGCGAGCGCCCGCGGGAGCACCTACGAGTCGAGCAAAGGACCTCGCCATAACGTCGCCGATCGGACCTCCTACCCGAAAGGCGGCGATGAGCCACAGGTGATAGCTGTTGTTTTCCCGGGAGAACGGAAAGACGCCGCCCATGCCGTCGGTGGTTGGTACGCCATTTGTCGCAATGCGGAGCCATCGATGGTGGTGGTTGAGTGCATGATACCAAAATACGATATGCGGAGTGAAGATAGGAAACAGGTTGGTCCATGTTGATAGAGGAGCGCGACGCGAGGCAAGAAGCAAGCGCGCTACGGCCGTTAGATAGAGAGGCAGGCGGGAGATGGGGTGATCGGTTGCACTATCCCTTGCAACTGAGCGTTGTCATACACCGAAAATCAAGCGGTTACAGCCGACGAAACTGCATCCAGCGCAACCATCGAATACCACTCTCGACGAATAGATCCAAACAACTTCTCAACTGTACACCGGACGCATTTCCGTGATGTCCATGGATGTGCTGTAACAAACATTCAGCATACCCTAGAAGACAAGGTGGCACTTACGACATGATGATGATGAGGCTTCCGAGGCCAGGTTCTACCGCACCGCCGACATCGATCGCTACCATGCGTTTCACGAGCTCCGGCCGGTTCTTTTCCACCAGGAAGGAGAACGTGCTTGGGGCGACCAGAAATAAATATAGAAAAGGCGGACCAATACATTTTTTTCGGGGAATGCTGTGTGTAGACTAGACTACGTGTAGTAGATGTCGTCCGTTCGAAGAGAAAAAAACTGAAGAACAAAGCTGTGCCCCGTCGTGGTGTGTATCACGTGCATTTGGCGAGAGTAGACCGTTTCTGTTGTCCGTGGAGGCACAGAGCGTGATGCCGGAGAGCGAGATTGGGTTTCGATCTGCTCTACTATTTTCTGCGGATGCCATGCTTTTTTTCGGGGGTGTATTTAGTTCATGGTTATCGCCCTACTGGCTGTACTGCTGCAGCACATTGTTGCTGTCCTCCTGCTCAGCGACCGGTAACTTGTTGTGAGCGTATTGGATTGGGCGAGTTCTCCTACAGTATACCGGGAGAGGGGCCTCCCCGGCAATGTTCACCGCGCTGAGTGTGCGCACTCAGCATAGCGAATAACCAAACAAACTGACGAACCCGCAGATCTACACGTAGTCTGTAGATGCATTTCTTGTACGCCATGGTGCTTGCAATCTCATGTCGATGCTTCTTTTCGAACAGAAGGGCGATAGCACTGCTGTAGTACAGCAGTAGAGGGCACGACGAGCGCTGTTCGTCTGTTTGTTCATAATTTTTACGAAGCAGCTGCCCTAGTTCTCTCGGTACGTTTCTCACCAACCCCAATCGTGTGCGATGAGAGTCACCGGTTCACCGTTCCCGGCCTTCTCTATCGTCCTCTCGAGCCGGCGCACGATCTCGTCGATCGAGTAGCCATTCTTCTCCACATCTGCGTCGTACTCATCGCTGTCAGCGCCGAATCCGGGTAGATCCGTCGTGACGCAACGGTAACGATCTTTCAGATGAGCTACCTGAAGGGCGAAACCAACAGCAAGGAGATAGCGTTGTAGCCAAGAGGACAGCCGAGGGTCGCTGCTTGTGTTTGTTGCCTGACCTCTATAATTGTATTAATCAGTTCTTCCTCTTGTACTGTCCGAGGCTCGTTTATATTGTCTACTGGTGTTGTAGACTGTGCATTCAAGGTTTCTTGACTGAGCACTACAGCAGTAGGTTGCTCTACGGGGCCAAGTTCGGTATAGAAATTGTGTTTTTATTTGTTTTGTTACTCTTTGGGAGGCTCATTTAACTGTAACTCCTGACGGTAAGTACTTTGGCGCGTTCAGTAGATCATAAGGGGCATGGGACTCAGATTTATTTGCGGACTTTTTAGTCCGAACCTGCAGCTTTCGACAGCGTGTCCCCAGTTACTGAACATCTGAGCGCGCTAAACGCGCGTCCGGTATCCATTATCCTCTGTTGGTTCAGCACTTATTTCAGATTGGGACTGGGAACTCCGGCAGAGGGAAGTTCATCTCGTTACCTCGACATTCAATCGACGTGAGGGGGGGGGCATATCTGCGTATCTATCTACTGCGCAGGTGCCAGCACATCCTGGGATAAACGGTGTAACATATACATACAGGATGGTCCGCAACAGCCGTAGATGCGAGTAAGGAGAGGTCCTGCGCTGCATACAAGGAGACAAGGAGACAGACAGCAGTGCCAACAGCAGTGGTTTTGTCAACAGCAAGTGGTTTACAGCAGTTGGCAGTGTTTGCATTTGTGGTGTTCTAACAGTTGGCCCGTTCGGTCGATCGGTGCGTCGGAAATGTGGGGCACATGATACTCGGCTATTTTGCCGCAACGATACTGTACTTGTAAAAATGATCGACCATAAACACGCTCTTGCTCTCGGCTCCTTGTCCAACAAGGTGTCCACCAACTTGCTTAACCACACCTGCTTGTCCCACATCTGGTGGTCATCTGGCCACCCGTGCACGAAGAGAAGGACAGGCCCGTCATCTTTGCCGTCCGAGAACATCCTCAGAGCTGGCGTTGTTGATGCCGCCGTCGAGCGGCTTCTGGCGGCGATCATGCCTCTGCTACACCCTGTTGGGCGGCAGCCCCGCAAACCTCCAGGTCGTAGCCGCATCGTTACCATCGAAACGAGTGGCGACGACGATCGCATTGTCGTGGAGGCTGTGTGCGTCAGAAGCGCGAAGTGTACCTGGGTTAGTGGAGTCTAATAAACAATAACGCGGGACGGAGAGAGGGCGGGGGAGAGAAGGCACGCGGAAAGAAGATGCGCAAAAAAAAACAGGGAAAACACATGCACACCCGCAAATAATCCGAACAGTAAAACGGACGCACACACACGCGGATATGATGTGTAACGGACACATATGAACGTCACCACCATGGTTCGATAGCTACAAGTGTGTTACAGCATTGAACAACATCTTGGTGTCGCAAACGTTTAGGCGGTTTCCGAGTCGATACTCCATACCAGACAGAGAGATGTCTTACATGGAAATGCCGCGCATGGCGCACCGGTACTCCCCCCCATTCGATCATAATAAATGCATGGAACCCTTTCACCGGTAAAGATCTACCAAACATAATGTAGCTCCCTCGGAGGAAACCAGTCCTACGCATGGATACTTCCTACTTTCTTCCGATAATTTCGGCCTCAGAAGGAGCGCGGTAAACGAAAAGAGATCAAGCCAACTACCCGTGGAATGTATATAGGTATGTATGTAGTTCTCACTTCCTTTTAGTGATGACGATTGTATTTTGTATTTTCCAATATGACAGTCCATTGAGAGGAACAACAGCAGCAGACCGAGTATGCGGGGCCGCACTGTGCGATAATTTCGGCCTCAGAAGGAGCCCGGTAAACGAGAAGAGATCAAGCCAACTACCCGTGGAATGCATGTATATATGTATGTAGTTCTCCTTTTAGTGATGACGATTGTATTTTCCAATATTAAAGTCCATCGAGGAACAACCGCAGCAGACCGAGTAGGCGGGGCCGCACGCACGGCCCTTTTTCCTTTTTCGCTCCGGCGAAGTGGGCGACAGAATACCACCAGCGGTTGGATCTACCATCCAACACTCCAGTTTCCCATTTTTTTCACAAAATATTACAGGTGGTCCAAATGCTGGTCTGCCGTATTCGCATGGAAACAAATTAGTCATGTATTGGAGTTACGTATACCTAAAAATGTGTGTGTACGTTTTTTGTGTTTGTGTTTGTGTTTTGTCTTGTGTTTAGTTTTGAGTTTTGGGGACGCAATATATTTGTCTATGATCCCTCCGGAATGGGTTCATGAGAGCACCGTGTCGTAAGGGGTGACGCAAGATGATATTAAGAGTCGCAGCTGGCTACCAGCTGCCCGTTGTGAAGGACGTTTCTCAAGCTCAACAGCTGTCACACAGTGACGTTACTCTGACCCGTTTCTGACTCGAAGAGCCCACCAAACCGCAACGAACGAAAAAATAAAAAAATATTAATCTGCTACACAGCAGTCTTGTGATATCACTCAGCTTCGGATAAACCGAACCGGAACACAACGTACCCACAACTTCACTATCCGACACTCGTCGAGTTCTCGTCGGGGAGAGAAAAGCGCAAAAACGAATAACGACGAGGGGCCTCCATCACGGTGTACTTTATTTGCCCGCTTTCGCTGCCGACATGAACGATACATGCACGGTTGGCCTTCAAACGCAAAACGACAGCAGTGTTTGCACCAAGCCCGTAAAACAAGCTGGGCGAACACACCAAGACACGGCCTCCGTCTGTCGACTGAACACCCACAACATCGATTAGATTTAAAACCAAAAATGCACAGAGCAGCTTGACAATCGTCAAACATGTTGCATAACTCCGTTTGAAACCCAACACAGACAACGAAAGTTTCGGCGACACACAAACACGATGCCACACAATACACATATAATCACTTGTGAGCACTTACTCAACACTACTGCAACGTTCGTTGCCATCTTCTCTGTGAGGTCGTTGCTTGACTGTACCACTCATGATCTTAACAGGGTTACATGAATCGTCCGGATGCCCTCCCTACCTCCGCCGACAACATAACACCGACTATTATAGATCAACGATCTGCCGTAATACAATGCGAGAGGGACAAAGGAGTCTACAATGGAACATGGTGGAGCAAAAAAACGACAACATAAAAGTAAGTACACGTCGCGCGTCCCATGGTCCTTTAGGCATCAGCAACGAAAAAAAGTGGTATCCCCATCCTAAGCCTGCACGCTGCCCCCGTCACCTCGTCACATCGCATAGACAACAGTAGAACCCACATCATCGCAACCCTGCGTCTCGGGAAGGTGCTTGGTCCACAATGGCGAAACGACCTCAAGGGACCACCAACCCCCCGACCCCCTCCCGTTTGCTGCCGACGCACGTACCGCACACCGTGGTCTTCTACATGTCCGCGAGAAACTCATCAAGCCTGCGGTTGACCTCCTCGGGCTGGTCCCTCGTGACCCAGTGCGAGGCCTGGGGTATCCCCTGTGACGAGGAGCCCTCCTTCTCCTGGACTTTCTCCGCCCAACGAGCCGCGTGGAACGTCTAGCACAGATATAATAAGCAGCAGATAAGAACACAGCAAAGTTTCGGAACGAGTGGTGTTGGTTGGGGGTGAACAACGACATGAGAACACAAACAAAATCGATTGCATAGTTTAGAAGCGCACCCAGACGGAAAGCTGATGTGTGTACTTTGGTAGTAAGATGTGTCAGACGCGCAACACAACAATATATCGCGAGCAAGACAACAAGAAAACAACGCCTTCAATGGGGACTCTACGAGCATCGGGTCTTTCCAAGCGCATCCATGTGTAGCTGGAACTTGTTACCATATCATGATGGTACATGCTACTACTGCTGTCGAGTATGCGAAGCGGTGCTGAAGGGGGTGTGCTGTCGTTCATTCATGGGTAAGAACACCGGCTGATGGGGAAACGTGTTTGGACACCGCGCGGGCGATGTGCACATGAACCGCGCGGGCAGGAACACAGCAACCGACGATGCGTGGGGCATGACAAAACACTGACAGGGGACAAACCCATCGAAGTTGTGCAGTAGAAACGGGCGGTAATCGGTCTCCAACGGGTCTGTGGCAACGTCCAATTGATCGCAGACAAAAACAAAACACCACAAGCAACTACAGATGCCTACCAGCCCACTGCTGCTACCCACCTGGGCGTGAAAACAAACACGAGGGGAATACCAGAACACGCTTACCATGATCTTCTTCACGCCAGCGGTGCCGTGCAGGAACATCAGGGGGCACTGCGGCATCATGGGCCTGACCTTCTCCCCGGAGCAGAGGATGTGCTTCCACGTGTGGTAGTACGGGTAGCAGGTGGAGGCGCGCGCGATGCGGGCCCCCGACGGCGACCCCATCAGCCAGGCGAAGGAGCGAGCGATGCCGTCTCCGATCGGGCGCCCCAGCAAGAACGCCGCGCAGAGCCAAAGCTTTTTGAGATTCCAGGGAGAATTATTCCGTGTCGTGCCCGAGCGCGCGGATAAAAATCATTACCACCCGTACGGGGTTGAAGCGGGGCTATCAGCAAACAACCACATTGGTCATTAGGATGCACAGTAGTAAGCTCAATAATATGTTCGTCTTCCGTCTAGCTTTGGACGGTGCGGCGCGTTCTGCACTGCCCAGGTTTCTACACTACAGTACATAGGCTTACCCACCCACGCCTTTATAGAGGGGAATGGCACGCATTCGGTGTCGCGACGCCGCCGGCAATGCCAATGTGCCAACAAAGCTCTGGCGCACGTTCACAGTACATCACGACAGCCTACTTCCCCGGGTGCTACCAAAACCAACAGTGTTTGGCATGGTTTTTTTAACCGCTTGAAGAAAAAGGACATTCTTCCGTCTTGTTGTTCCGCAACGCTAACCCCGCCGCCACCGCCGCCGCTGCCGCCGCAGCGCGGGGGAGGGGTGGGGACCAGGGCGTCACGGGCGCAACGTCAGTGGGTCAAGACCTGCGTGCCGTCGAAACTCGTATTATCTGTCCGTCTATCTGCGTGTCCTTTGCTATTTATGAGTGTGCTGTTCTTCGTTTCATAGACCACAACTAACGCCGATGGCTGTCTTGACCGCCAAACGCGCACCGGTGGTAGAGCCCAGGGTCTCATTTTCACGGTCCCGTGACCACCCGCTGGAGCTCATGTGTCATTTGAAGCTTCCTGCGCTGGGAACGGAGTGCACGCTGCGCGGAGATCACTTCAGCAAAGGCGGCTTCAAGCTGCCGTCGGAACAGCGTAGGTCCAACGGCAGCTCCAAGACGCCCGCGCCGAGGTGGTCCCCGCTGAGAATGCACACGACCCCTAGCGCGGGTTGCTTCATATGAGACGCAGTCTCCAGCTGGTGGGCACGGGACCGTCAACCAGACCCTTGACCCGACCACTGGGAAGAGCTACGCGGTCAAGACAGCCATCGGCGTAAGTTCATGTGTGCGGTTTTCTGTGAGCGTGCTGTTCTTCGTTTCATCGACCACAACCCACGCCGGTTGTTTTCGATACCGCGTAGCACTCCCAGGTTCTCGGATTCAGGGGTCCCGTGCCCACCTGCCCGAGCCTACCTCCCAATTGAAGCGTCCTGCGCCGGGGATCGAGCGCACGCCGCGCGGATATCACCTTAGCGAAGGCGGCTTCAAGCTGCCGTCGGAACAGTGCTTGTCCGACGGCAGCTTGAAGCCGCCCGTGCCAAGGAGGTCACCGCGAAACGGGCACAACATCCCTGGCGTGGGTTGCTTCACATGAGACGCAATCTCGAGCTGGTGGGCACGGGACCGTTACTCAGGCCCTGCACCCGACCACCAAGGAATGCTACGCGGTCAAGATAGCCATCGGCGTAAGTATTGGCTGATGGCACGGAGACAGAAGCGCGCTCACTACTGACAACAACGGCATAACAGAAACTACGAAGGTACGCTCTCGCGCCGTTAGGTGTTCGCCATCGCAGCCACGCACTTTGCTCGACCCAAAAAGACTCACACGACACCGTCGTAGACTGATATTGCGGTTGGCGCATCTTGGGGTCTGTGCAATGCCGAATCACATGCACTTCAATGAGCAAAAAAACGCGGCTGTTGCACGTAGGCACAGACAGGCGCTTTATCACGCTTGGCCACACCCACGACCCGACCACGCCAGCAATCCCCCCTGCCCCCCCCCCCGCAAGCCGATGTCTCTCACACGTTGACCCCTTCCTCGTCCAACCGCCTCCCACTGCTGCTGCTGATGGGTGTGTGGTAGATAAGATACACACGTCACGCGTCATGCGCACTTTCAACGTACACAATCAAGGGTTACCTGGTACGTGACCATCAGCATGGCGCCGCAGATGCTCGGTTTCATCGCCCCTCCGACATCGATGGCAACCATCTTGCGCACCTACAGTAACAGCAGCAATGCAAGACCCAGCGCGAGGCGGAAGTCCGACACCATCTACTGTCATCACTTTGATGCGATGGGAGTAAATATCGATGCGACGCTTGATACCGTAACAATCACACTCAATCGCGGATGCTCGTTTGTTAGTTTTTGCGAAACGAAAGGAAGAGTATCACCTCGGGTCTTAACCCTGCCCTCTAACGGTAGAGCACCACCTGCTCGTAACCAACAAGGAAACAACAAAGTGATCCCTCAAAGCGTGAACGTTGTACCAAACGGATACCCCGGACGAACGCACTACCGCTTGTAAACTATTCCACGTAACAAACGTTTTCGAAGAATCCGTCATGTTTCGCACGATGCTCACCAGATCCGGCCGCTTTGCCTCGAACTTGAACGAGTACATGCAACCGAAGTCGTGGGCGACCAGTATGATGGGCTGTCCATTCCCTACTCTCTCCGCCGTCCTCTCGATCCGCTTCACCACCTCCTCGGTCGAGTAGCCCCACTTCTCGACTCGGGCGTCGTCGCCGCTGAAGCCAGGCAGATCTGTCGTCACACACCTGAAGCGATCCTTTAGGTGAGTCACCTGTACCAAGCATCACACACCATCGTGCAATCACGGAGCAGGGGAACAAGGACAATCGAAGCATATGTGATCGCCGTGCATGTTACTCCAAGAGTCAGATGATCGACTGGGGCTCATTCACATCAGCGTTGCCGCCTGTGTACTAACAGGAGAGAAGCGTTGGTTCTCTACACATACACAGTTGTCGCATCCCCGACGACTCACATGCTCTGAGCCATTACAGCCGGCATTGGTAGGCACAGTTCGGTACTCTTGATCACGCGAGTTGTAGGTCCCACACTTCAAAAATAAATGTGACTGAGGGGCGTCGCGCGACTGCGTGGTACCCCGTGTGCGCTCCCATGATGCTTTGCCACATGAGGCCATCTGGTCAACACCTTTGCCAACGCTGGTGCTACCCACTCAGGCAGCTGCGTGCATTGAAAAAGCAGGAGGCCTCAAGCATGTCATGCTTGCACGCGCAGCTACGTGACACATACGCGCTGGTTTTGCTCTGAACATGGCAAATTTCGAGCCATGACAAGTGAAATAGCTGTTGATTCAAGCACGTTTCGTAGTTCCGGCACCAAACCTCACGAAGCAATGCACCTTCCTTCGCAGGTGATGACAGCCTCGTTCGAGACCTCGTCAGGTATTCCTAGGCATACTGTATGTAGAATCGAGGGGATAGCGGAAACTTGGATCGCCGCTACGAGGGTCACTCCACTAGAGCTTTCTGATCGCATACCTCGGAAAACCACGCCCTACAAGCATGAGTCTGCCTCCAATTTTGTTCGGGAAGATTAGGGTGTTCGCGGCAGCTGACCATCGGTGTGTTCTACACACCACACGAAAGGATATTGGCCAGCAGGTGCGAGCTCATGCCTTGGAAACAGCCGTCTCAGGGTGGCCCTTGTCAGATACGTTTTCCGTCGAAAATCGAAAATCGTAAATAAAAATTGTCACTTGATTGGACAAAGCTCCAGTGTTTCGCCGCCGGATTTTCGATCTGGGGGTAATTGTTCCGAATATTCTCCGATATGGAAAAGTCAATATTAAGAAAAAAAAAGGGGGGAAACGACACAACAGCGTATACCCTGGTCGAAAAGCGACACACCTGGGTACACAGTCATTAACAACAGTAAATGCACTCATATCATTGGTCAGCGCCCAATTTCACCCCGGTGCGTCCGAAAAGGCGCAGGGTATACCCTGCCGTGACTACTTTTCTCAACAACTGTACCCTGTTTTCGGAAATGTATCCTGACCTGACGGCAAGAGAGATCCTTTCATCAAACATTTCCCCCGCAGGAATCTTCCCAACTCCTTTTCCCCTCCAACCATGGGATACCAAACGGCGAATCTTCCCGTCGAATAACAACCATGGCGACGGGGCAGGAATCAGTTTCCGCCCCTGCAAAACAACACCAACCATCAAATCTTCCGCTCTAAACCAACAATGGCCGGGCAACACCCCAGCACAATTGTTCCGTTTGGAAACATGCACACACGCGTACAATACCCCGTGGACTGCTTGGTGTAGTCTATATGCGAGATGCACGGGTCACGCTATGAAAGCGAGACCGATCCAGCATGGTTGACATGCATATGCATGTGCCAATGTGTGGCGCTGTGCTGGCGGCGAGATCGCGCCCGCAGAGGGTGAAGGAGAGAGGCAGAACCAGCACACACAGACATGCCCTTGACATCAATCACGCACACACGAGTCTTATCCTTACCCTAGCAGCAGGACACTGCTGTGTCGTCCAACTCAATCACCCTCCCTGTCGGTAGAGAGAAGAAAGAGTGCTCGCGTTGTATTTCATCGGTTCATCCCGCTGAAGCCTAACGTCTTCTTACTACATTGATTGATTGGTCGGCTTGGTTGGCTGGTAAGCGTGACCGCTGCTGCTACAGCAGTAGTTCAAGCAAGAAACACATCGCAATTGAGACACAACAGACAACACACGCACGCACACATGCATGTGCATGTCAACCATGCTGGATCGGTCTCGCTTTCATAGCGTGACCCGTGCATCTCGCATATAGACTACACCAAGCAGTAGTCCACGGGGTATTGTACGCGTGTGTGCATGTTTCCAAACGGAACAATTGTGCCGGGGTGTTGCCCGGCTATTGCTGATTTAGAGCGGAAGATTTGATGGTTGGTGTTGTTTCGCAGGGGCGGAAACTGATTCCTGCCCCGTCGCCATGCTTGTTATTCGACGGGAAGATTCGCCGTTTGGTATCCCATGGTTGGAGGGGAAAAGGAGTTGGGAAGATTCCTGCGGGGGAAATGTTTGATGAAAGGATCTCTTTTCCCGTCAGGTCAGGGTACATTTCCGAAAACAGGGTTGTACAATTGTTGAGAAAAGTAGTCACGGCAGGGTATACCCTGCGCCTTTTCGGACCCACCGGGGTGAAATTGGGCGCTGACCAATGATATGAGTGCATTTACTGTTGTTAATGACTGTGTACCCAGGTGTGTCGCTTTTCGACCAGGGTATACGCTGTTGTGTCGTTCTCCCCCATAAAAAAGAAGAGAGGACGAACAGACTCGAAATCGAACCAACGCGCGTGCACGCCAAACTGTTCGTGTACACCTGCCAACGTTCGCCAGCTGAAGCTCGCCTGCGCATGCATGCTGACACCGTGACGCCATAACCACGCGCCGCCAGCCAGGGATCAACACGCGGACAACAGGGAGTGATGTTTTACCGTGTGTGTGTTGTTGTGTTTTTCTTCAAGTGCTACGTTACCACATCCGACGAACCAACCACCCAACACATTCCTTCTACGCCTTCCCAGCATAACATACAGAGAGATGCACAGGATGGCTACCAAACTGTCTTGTTGACCCTGTTACCCACGGGGGAGACATTACTATTATACTGTGTGCTGCTCAGGAAAACGTGGAAAAACAGAACTTTCGCTTACTCTATGGATTAATTGCTAATCTATCTTAGACTCTTTTCTTCGATAGAGATGGATTCGTTGGGTCATACTGATGAAAAAAATTAAAAATCGAAAATGCCAATCGGAACATCAAGCTGGCGTGCCAACCCTCGAGAATAGTACATGTACATGGCTTCACTTCGATACTCGTCTAGCCACCTACAGACTGCTTAGCCGATGCAAGCAATAGCTTGGCAGAAAGCTGACATCCAGCAGAGCACGGCATACTTTCTTTGAGCGAGATCTGCTCTTGAGAGAGAGACAGTCATCGCCGTGAAATTCTTTCTTTCTCTATGCAGTTCAACGGCCGCTGTTTCCTTTCCTGCATGAGCACGCAGGATTCAATCACACATTTGCTCGCTGAGTTCGCAGCGTATCGATGCCAGACGAAGACCCCCAACCCGCCTGGTCATGGCCGTTGTTCGCAGCTATCGTTCGCTGTCTTGGATGCCGGGTGGCCCTCATGGTCATGGTTTGAATCATCGCAACTGGCATGTACGGGCCTTGTCCGCCTCTTCCGGGTTGATTTGTGTACTGCATACATCCAGAGCCAATCCGAAACCAAAAATCAATCGATTTTTCGATTTTTCGATGGACCGTTCGACTATGTGGGTTATCTCGAGTAGTCTTTCTGTGTGTGTATTTAATTTTCCTTAATTATCATTTTGTTGACAAGGGCCACCCTCACACACATTCAAGGAAAACCAAAACTTCGCATGTTACGTTGTGAACGACTTCCCTTATTGATGAGATGCAACGAAGGCGAAGGCGGACATCTGAGAGCCCTAAGACGCTATAAAAACTCAATACACACACATCACAGCAGCGCCAACCTGAGCATCCCAGAGCAAATGGTCGTCCGGCCAACCATGAACGAAGAGAATAACAGGTCCATCCTCTTTGCCGGAGGCAAAAGTCCTTAACCCCGGTTGGTCATCAACAATTGCGTTGTAGTTGGAGGACATGGCTTACCCTCGAGAGAGGCAGACGGCAATCTCTGTATCACCACACCGGCCCGCGGACCCGCGGCGCAAGTTGCGAAGTTGCGCCGCGATCGGGGCTGCGCGGAATGATGAAGTGTGTGATACGGGTATGCTCGTCTTGATACTCTCCTTCCACGGACCCCCAGATATGGAGTCAGCAAGTGGGGAGTGTGAGCTCCGGCAGCTACATGTTCCTCCCGTCTTGTTCTCTCTCTCTCTCTCTCTCTCTCTCTCTCTCTCTCTCTCTCTCTCTCTCGCTCTCTGGCTTCCTTTCACGTCGCCTAGGAGAATACAAGACCAAGATGCTGAAAAGCCACGCGCCTTCGCGGATTGGCGGGAGGAGTTTGAAACGACAGAAAACCAAAGCAGCAGGATCCGACGACGACTCCTCAACGGCTGCTTCTCGCAAGGCGGCTGCCGGGCGCTTCGCCGTCGCGAGTGCACCAGTGGTCGGGGGTAGATTGCCCATTCGTGCTGCAGTCAAGGTATCGATCAATGGCGAACAGCCCCGACAAGCGCTGCGCGGGTGGCAAGAACCGCGCAATGAAAACAAAATGAAGGCGACAGCAACGGCGGTTCAAAAAATTGGTCGCAGGAGCCTCAGCCGGGAGCGCACCGCAGGAGCACTTAGCAGCAGCAGCAACAGCAGCAGCAGCAGCAGCAGCAGGGTAGAAGCAACGAAACCTTCGCGTGCAGCGTCCTCTACCGCGGCTGGCCTCATGAGGCGCGTGAAAGCGAGAGAGCAAAAGCGGTCGACGGCGGCCCCAGACTCAAGCAGCGGAGACATCGAATGGAGAGTGCCGTCGCCATCATCATGTTCGACCAAGCCGCCGCCACCGCCGCCGCCACCGCCACCTCCTCCCGCAATAACACCACCGTGCACAAGGAGCGTCGCCGACAACAGCGCCAACGGAACAGCTAGTATCAAAACCCCTTCTCGAGTCGTTCGGAAGAGTAGCACCGTCACCAGAGCTAGCCCACGCAAGAAACTCGGTTCGTCGACATCCACACCAGTAGCAGCAGTAGCAGCAGAGGATGAGGCGGAAGAGGAGCAGCTTCCGCCGTGCCCATATCCAGGACATCAGAACGTTTCGTGGACGTGTCGGGCATGCGGCGGAGCGAAGCACTACCTGACTTCGCGTTCCGCCATGGAGCCGCTGCAGCGGGCACACGGCTTCAAGGTGTGCTCAATCAAGGGCCGATGAAACATGAGTCCTACAGCAGTACACACAGCAGCAGTAGCGCTCGAAATTTTGGCGTCTACCGTAGGTGGCGTAAGACATCACACACTCTGAACCGAATTTCGAAGCTCGATATCTCGGTAGGAAAAGTATTGACGGTGCCGAAAAGGGCGGCGTTGGAACCCTCTCGTCGAGAGCTTTCCGAAAACGTATGCTTCGATTTCGGCATCCTCTTCGTCGTGGAGTTATCGAGCTTTGAAAATCGGTCCACGGGGTGTGATATCTTATGCAACCTACGGTAGTGGGTGAGGTTCGAAGAATCCCACAAGATCGTTCCGTCTTGGTACATGTAGTGGGAGAGACTGCTGTGGAAGTCTCCTCGCACCGTGTCTTGTCCGTGTTGCATACTTCATATCTGTGAGAAACGTGGGCAACCCGCGGCGGTTATGGCCTCTTGATCATGTAACCCGCTCCATCAGTGCGCTAAATAGTACTGCACCCTGTCTGCCTGCTTCGTTACCGTCGCGCGCCTGCGCCCCGCGTCGCCTCATCTGACGACACCACACCACACCACACCACAATCATAGGTGCATCGTGTTCCAAACGATGGAGATTGCTTCTTCTCCTCGATCAAGGCAGCCTTGCCAGACGGAGTGGCGGCAGAACGAGCGAGGGGCGGTGGAGGCGGGGGCGCGGCGGACTGTGCTGGGTCGGCCCTCACGGTGCGACAGATGCGCGAGTGGGTGGCGGAGGAGATGGGCCAGGACCAGCTGGACTTCTACATCCTTCAGGCCGGCGCGAACCCCGAGGATAGATGGTAGTTTGAACGTTTTCAGTTCCGATGCTCAAAAAGGGCCGCCTGCGCGCACACGTTCAATGAATTAGTTACGCGGCCGGTGCCTGCGTGCCGGTTGGCTGGGCGAAAGTTATGCGTTTTTTGCGGCCCCAGGTGGAAACATGGGGGGATGACGTGCACCTGTACATGACTGCAGGCGCAAAGTTACTGGTTCTGCCTCTCAACTCGTGTTGACGCAGTCGCCGTCGTGTCTTTTAGTGTTCTTTGGGATACCGTTATTTGTCTTTTGCTTTGAGAATCTCCCCCCGCCTTGAAAACACCTTCGCCTCAAAATATCGCTGGCATCCAGTAGCCCGAAGGCTCTTTCTTGGTTTTTGTTTTTTTTCCGCCTTCCCGTTTCTGAGGTCTCCCAAGGGTCTTGTTTTTTTTCGTATTGCTTGGCTGCCCTTCGGTGTGTCACTAGTAGTGTAAGAGATTCATTCGTGCAACGGTGTTTGACTGTAGTTGTGGCGTTGTGGCTGGTTGTTTGTCGCTCCACCTACCTGCACGCAAGGGTTAGTTTTCGATCTATCGAAACAACTGATTTCGGCATTTTCACCAAGATTTTAACATTGGGTGTACGCGGCGCGACTGATCCGCACTGTGTACGCTCCGCAAAGGTCGCCTGCTTTTTCGCTTGGTTTGCTTTGACGGCTCCTGACAGTTCGCATCAAACACCCTGGTCGGTTGATCAATAGAACTGCTTCAGTCTTATCGGAGGAGGTTATTCGTTCCTCGCCTTGCAAGACGTCAGTGTCAAGAGGGGACAACACGGTGCGCTCATCTGCGATCTTGGCATCGATCGCACGGAGTGAAGATAATTATTCTCAATTTTGGTTGTTTGCACGACCGTTCCACGTTTTTTCCTTCCCGCCCGATTTCGGTTAGGCTGGACTTCGTGCGCCCGCTGGTAGACAGGATACCGAGCGACGACGAAGAGGAGGAGGAGGAGGAGGAGGAGGAGGGAGAAGAGGACGACGACGACAGCTACCGGGGGGAAACCGAGGGCGAAGCTTCGCAGTCGCAACCCCAACAGAGCGCAGCCACCTCTCGCAAACCGCCATCATCCCGATCCCGACCGTCCCGAGCAACAGCAGCAGCAGCAACGGCGGCATCACGAGCCCCGAAGGCTGTTGGCTCAGGTGGGGGCGGCGTGGCACGCGGCAGGGGGAAAGGAAGGACGGGAAGCGGACAACCGGAAGGGAAAAAACCTACCTCGCGGAGGACCGCCAAGGCGGACGACACTGATGCCCCTGAGGATAGCGAGTGCGCCACTTTGGCCGCCGTGGTGTCGCCGCCGTCGGCATCAAGCGACCGCAACGCTCGTTACCTCCGTAGGCGTGAGGGAAGAGGGCTGTCGGCAGCGGCGGCCGCGGCGGCGGCCACGAAGGCGGCAGCTTCGACGAACAAGAATCCGAAAGCGAAATCGTCATCGAATCAGCGAAGAGCGACAGCGGAGGCGGAGGCGGGGAGTTCATCTCGGAGGAGTTCTAGGTCCAGGAAAGGGAAGGCGACGAGCCCACGGCGCGTTGGCGAGGAAGGCAGTGGAGGAGATGAGGAGGAGGAGGAGGAAGAGGAGGAGGAGGAGGGGGGAGAGGAAGAGACGGAGGCGGTGGGGTGGAGGTGGGAAAACGAGGTAGAGGAGGAGAACGAGGGTTTGCCTGTGGTGGAGACGGTGGAAGAGCTCCGTCGGTTCGTGCGGCTCGAGGGCTCGGACGTGGGGCACGGCAACTGCATGTGGGCCGACACGCACGCGCATCACGTGGTGTCCCGAAGGCTGAAGATAACCATCCTCTTCGTTGACATGGTAAGCTAGAGCGAGACCGACCACCGAGGGGGATAGGATGGCGTGTATGCTGCAGGAAGCATGCATGGGCAATTGGAAGTGAAGGGGGTTACTTTGTGTTGCGGCACCCGCGTTGCTTTTCAGAGACGACGCTGCTGGGGTAGTCCGTTGGCGTGGGCTGCGTAAATGGATGTGGATATGGATCCCGGTTGGGTTGATTCCGTCGATAGTGTTTCATGGAAAAATCAACGCCTCTTTTATATATATCAGGAAACCGCTGTATCCATGCTGGCTTTCGGAGTATGGTTGTGCTTCCTCTGCTCCCATTAGATGCGACTAAGCGCACTTCGGCGTTGCCTGGTCGTCCGCCCCCGAATACGAATAAATTCATGGCTACAGCTTAGGTTTGCTCGTCGCTTTCCTCCACGCCTTCTTGATTGTTTTTGGCTCTCGAATCCTCACTCGCACCGCCCCCCCTCCGTACCTGATAAAGGAGCGAGAGAAGCGTGCCTGGCCGTACCGGGTGCTGGCCCGCACGGTAACAGACAGCGACGACGGAGAGGACGAGCGCTTCGTCGTTCTCAAGCGAGAGCCCAGCCACTTCGTCCTCCTCGAGACCGTGCCCTCCCCCGAGGACAGCGACGGAGCGGTTGGCAGCGACAGCGGTGGCGGAGGCGTGGCAGCGAAGAAGAAGCGAAAGGGCGGGCGGGGGCAAGCGTGCTTCTCCCGTTCTGAGCTGCCGGACGTCGTGAGGAGGTTGTGGCAGCTGTGAGCGGAAGGCCAAGACAACGAGCGCTGGCGGTGTCGGCGTAGTACATACATTCAAGAGGGCAGCAGAAAGGATGGTGGGTGACGAACGTACGGGCCCGAGATGGCCGTATGTGGTTGACCCACTTATATGATGCTGAGGAAGAAGAACACGGAAAAGAGGAGGAACCAGCGCCGGGCACGGAGTGACCGACAAGCGAAGGCGGTGTTGATCGTTACGCTTGGGACAGATGTATTTCCATGTGCCGACGCGTGCCCAAAATGCATGTGTGCAGGCTGACAGGCTGATGTAAACTACTTGGTATGTCTATTTCGTGTGTGGGTCGCAGTGGACTGTTTCGTGGTTTCTGTTCGTTTTTCCTTCATGTTTGGTTCTTGTTCGGTGATTTTCAAGTTTTGAGTGTATCGTACTATAGGGTCTGAGAACCGTTGTTTTTGTCCTCTTGCAGATATATCGTTTAGGTGGAAGGGCACTCCCCGCGCCCGTTCAATGAACGGAGCGATATACTGGTGCCGTGATGTCGGTGAAGAAATCATGTGGGGTTTGGAATATTAATATTGTATTTTACGTTTGCTAGATCGCCCCGAGATTCCTCAGTCAGTGGATGTGATTTTGATGGACTGGATGGGTCGGTTGTTGTGTAGGAAAGCTCTCCTTGACTTGACAACTCGAACGTGTCGAAGAACAATGTTATCAGTCTTCAACTGAGGTGGTTTAGTTGGTATCCTCGAATAGCCTTCTGGCTCCCGGGGTGTGGGTTCGAATCTGTCCAGAGTGGAAAAAAAGCCGACATTTAGAAATGAAAAAGCGCATTGGGACTGGTGAACCTTTCCAAGATGGAAGGCAAGCGCCGCAGAAGAAATTTGAAGAATTCGCCCCGGCTTGTGCGTCATACATGTCCCGAAAAGTGTAGGCTGGCGCCGAGCACGTGCGGCGTCGATTTCGGCTGACCTTCCATTTTATGTTGAGGTTAGTTTAGGTTTCGCAGGGTGGAATACGAGCACCCCGGACTTGGGGAGGGGTTCTTTTCGCCGACAAGACATGTTGACAATTGATTTGCCTTACAACACGGGATCACGAAGAAACGCCCTCCAACAGCACATACACTATGTTGACCGAACAAAATCTCCACGATACGTGACGTGCCCCTCGCTCACGCTTTTCCTGTGCATGAACCGCGACGGCGGAATTTTTGTCTGGTCAGGCGGAATTTCGGCTCTGTTCCGCGCGATGATCGTTGCAACTTTTTTGTGCATGGACGCCAGGGGACAACAGATGAGCCATAATCATGGACGAAACCGCGTTTCTAGTACCCGCAGGAAATGACCCGCACATGTGTCCGGTTTAACGAATCCACGATACGCGTGCGTCTCGAACCAAACCATCACCAGCACTCGGCGTACCGATAGAACACGGCCTATTTAGTCGAAATTAAGAGCGAGAAAGATTCAACGGAGGCACGGCAGGCTTCGTGCTTGGCATCGCAGCCTCCGCCGACGGCCTTCCTCCAATGCCGCGGTTTGTCTCCCCGCCATGATCGTCGATCCGTCCCCCAGTGTTGCTGCTTCCTTCTCGCAGCGGCGGAGGCGCCTCGCGACGAGTGCCTGGCTGCTCGGTTCCTCGAGCCCCACCGGGAGAAGCAGGTACTTGCCCCCCACACCTGCCACTGCTACCGCCCGCGTCTCTCGAGTTCGTCTGTCCAAGTCCGGTCACATCTCCATGCTGTTGGCCTCCGTCGTTGGTCTCCGCCGTAGGCATCGACCCGATTGCTGCCGCTTCCGGCATCTCGTGCTTCCCCTTAAGTCTGTCCCAGACAGGCATCGGTGGCTTCGCGCGCGGCTGTGGGGGTGGCTTTCCCTCGCGCCCCGCGAAATCTTGGTTGGAGATAACGTTGTGCCCAGTCCGGAGCACCTCGACGTGCCGCATGTGCGAAGGGCGGTTGAGGGTTCGTTGTTCGCTTGCGGCAGCGGCGCGCTCGTGCTGGCGAATGTTGTCCTCGTAGGTTTGGCGGCCGCGCGTTCTCTTGGAGAGTCCACGATCCTGCACGGATGCTGATGTCATGTCCACGACAGTTTTCTTCGGCTGCTTGTTGGTGTCATCGAGGGGGGGTCGCGTGAGCGGGTTGTTCGTGCGTGTGTGTGTTTGTGGGGGACGATGTCGGAAACGGCAGGCTCGAACCATGCGGCGACCATAACATGTGCGACAGTTCAGTGGTGTACACAAAAGAATGTGCTGTGTTCGGCTTCTCAGTCTTGACGGCGATACGTGTTCTGTTGTTGCGCGGAGGAGGGTGATCACTCTCGTTGGTCGCCTACGAAACTCCACGTAATCACAGGCTGACCTCATTAACCGTACGACTGTCTGTGAAGACACAGACATCAATCCGTGTTTGCTTGCCCCGGCAGAGTAACGCGAATCCCTTCGTCGGTGGATTGTTCCACGCCTTTTTCCCTTCGTCGGTGGATTGTTCCACGCCTTTTCCACGTCGGTGGATTAACTCAACCTTTACACATCCAGGATCGCTTTTTCGAAAGGCTAAAACATAGCAACAGGCAAAATGATGGGCCAGCCCATTGCCCAAATGCTCTTCCGTCTGCAAGAATCAAAGAAATGGTAAAGAGGAGGGAAATTCGAGCACCTGCTGATTGATGATGTTGTAGCCGTTCCCTTCGCCATACCGTATGCTAGGCGGCAACCGGTACTGCTGCGCTCGCCCCTGCATGGTCAAGAGCTTATCCCTCGAATTGACGAATTTTCGCTCCTTGTCCTGGTCGTAGTAAGCTCCCGCGATAATGTTGTAGTCGTGCGTGCGTCGGTACTTTTCCTCCGCTCTCTCTCGGAGGAAACGCTTCTCTTCGGTCATGCGCTCTTCATGCTTCTCCAAGAACCTGCGCGAGATCGACCGTCGAACGCCGTGACGAGGTGTGAAATGAAAACCCATGCGTTTTTGCTGGTTGTAGGCAAAATCTCGTCCACGTTCGCAAGGCCATTGGGTCACCCAATCATGCACGGTGTTGAATCAGCCCCGCGCACTTCTCGATTTGCTACCACGCGGAAAAATGAACGCGCCTGTTGCTCAAGACGTCCACGTCTCGTCTCAGATGACTGTGGGGTTTCTTTCCCCCCTCCACCGTCACCACTTTCTGGGGAAGCACCTCCGGCCCCTCGCCGTTCGGGTAAATTAATGCCACGGAGTGGGCCTTCTCCTTTGGGACGTGGTTAAGGATATCGTAGGAAGTCCTCGTGTCAGGGTGGCGAATGGGTCTTGGGGCGGGCTCCTGGTATTTGTGTAGGTGAAGCAAAGGGTTTGCGGTGTTAATTCTCCGTTCGGTACTTTTGCAAGGCCTTGCCACTTCGTACCACGTCAAAGGGGTGGGCTTTCTCTCCGGTGGCTATCGTCCTTAGGTTGCGTTTTCATGCGCACGCTGCCGTCGTGTACAAGTGTGACGTCCGTGCCGCCGACAATAGAGCAGTGCGGGCGCGTCTGTTGAAAGTATGTCAAGCAGTTGAATGTGCGTAAGGTGTCGGTGACCCAACCCTACCTTATTTCGACGACCAGTGAATGTTTGTGTTCTCTAAATAGAAGTAGCATGCCTGGTACCATGAATCATGCGAAAACTCGCCTCTTTTGCTGATAGGAACGTAGAGTGGGTCACAATGTCGTAGTTCTGTTCGACTCTCAACTGCCGGCTCTTGGCGTTGTTTAGAGCAGTTCGCAGGCGCTCCTCCTCTCGCATCTTCCTTTTTGCCTCAACATCTGGGTTCCTACAACGAAATCAGTCCAGTGGCGCAGGTGACATGCAGCAGTAAGTCGAATTGCAATACATGTAGTTCTCGTACTCCGACAGGAGGAAACCTATCGAAAAGGGCAAATATTGATTTGCCCACCACGTGTTTCTTGTTCCCTATGGGCATGCCGTGACTTGAGTGTATCGACTAGTTCTGACGGTATCGTTTGGATCTAAGGTGTTGGTGGTAGTTCTCAGACCGGCCCCAACGAACAACATGCACACTAGTGTAACATGTGCGTACAAATGCAACTCACGTAGCTTGACACCTCCAACAAGCGCAACTGCGCAATCCTCTTCACCAGTCACCGACGATATCTAAGCAACTTGGCGTGTTTGATGTGCCTACGGTTTTTGCGGAGGACCACACCAGTGCCATCATACGGGCATACACTGCTATACGGGCATACTGATGTGCTGTGAACTCTAGCTCTCGCACCTATGTCGCATAAGCACCGGGTCCATCTCCCTGCTCTTTCGGGACACATCGAATTGCTTCACGTATGTTGGAGGTGGGACATCCGCTGGGTTCCACGGCAGATGTGTCTTGCCTCGTTCATACGCCTGGTTTATCCAAAAGCGGGGACCACAAAAAAGAAGCACAACCGGCACGACCTCCAATCAATTTCTGCAAGACCGTTGCCGACATGAGGCGATCCACGATTTTGCAAATGTATCCATGACATCTGCATGCGGAGGCATGAAGGATGAGCGATTGTTGCTGACCTGAATTGACTCTGCCCATGTTTGGGGTTCTTGCCCCCCGTTGATTACCCGCTGCATTCTAGTCTCTGCTAGATAATTCAAAGTGGCTTGCTGCTATGCATGCTGCTCCCCGGCAAGCTTCAAGGCTTATACGGGGGGGGGGGAGACAGCTACCATGGTTTCGTGCGGTGCAATTCGAAACGGCACCTATCACCCCGCACCTTGTACAGCAGTGAGCAGTGAGCAGTGAGTGAGAGCTATGCATGTGGGAGCGAGACATTAGGAAAAATATATACACACACAAAAAGACTACCCGTTCGAGATACACCCACATTCGAACGGAATGTGGTGGAGTATTTTCTGTGAGTGGAGGAAAACCGGCTGGGTACTAGACATGATGACAGGCTACAGGCTACTGGTTTCGTGCGGTGCAATTCGAAACGGCACCTATCACCCCGCACCTTGTACAGCAGTGAGTAGTGAGAGCTTTCAATGTACAGCAGCAGGACTACAGGTACAGGGGGGAGGGTGCACTAGCGAAGCAAGCGATAGAGGGACTTAGCAAAAGAAGAGACACGGAAGTTCAACCAAATAAGGAGGTACACTCTCTCCTCTTGTGGAGAAATATATTATTTCTCGTGCACCGGACAGAGCATGGAAGTGGCGATGAAGGGCGCGAGCGCCGCAGTACGTTGACACCCCCCTGCGTCCTGCGCTGGGACACGGCGTTGGGAAACCGCAGGTGTCCTACCGAAGCGCGTGTTATACGTTGCTTTGACGATTCCTAGAATGAGTTCCACATAGCTTGTGGTCACCAAGCACCCGCGATCCGCAGCTGTTGGCGAGACCGGCAGAGCAAAAATATCCTCTTGATAATAACACTGTCTACAACACATTCAGAATGTTCCCCGGTGCCGTGGTGGCAACAGAATAACTCTACCTGTGGAGCACGAAGATGACAAAGTGCTCGAGGGTAACCCGCACTCGACCTTGTCGAAAGGGACACCTTTCCATCGGAATTATATTGTCTCGATAGATACTAAAAGGGTTTGCGCACACATAAAGGAGCCAGTGTACGAGCAAGAAGAGGACATTTCCCCTGAAATACATCATTGGTGTTGGTTTGGACAAGTACAATGTTTGCTCACCAACGGCAGGACTTTTTTTGAGAAAGAGAGTGGCAGCAGTATTATTGAGTGAGGCGAAATCATTCAGACGCCGGCGCGAGTACCATAGTTTGTTTCTGCGCGGCCTTACCGCGGGTCAAACATTGCCCCCCCCAAGAATGTGCGCTAGGAGGACCGGCTGGATAGAGATCGGATTGGTGGACCGTACGCAGGGTGCACTCGGTTACGGGCGAGGCATTTGAAAGGGAAAATCACACATTTGCCTCGAGATACGGTAAATAATATAAAGCTATCGTTTGAGCGCAGTAGAACACCGGACGCCTGGGAGCATGTTGGCCGGCGCCGACAAAACTTCCCATCTGATCCACACCCCACTTCAGGAAAACCACCAACAAATGAAAATAAAGAACAATAACTTAAATCGTTGAATCAAAGAAACAAAGCGCACCTTCCCAACCCATGAACATGGCGTATCTGCTGTGGGATATACGAAAACACGCCAAGCGGCTTAGCGAACAACGCTGCAATCATGCCCAGTGAAGTATGTAGCCCGCTTCCGTCCGCCTGGAATTTGACAGCGATAGACAGGTTCGTAGTTGAGGCCAAGCCACCGGCAGACGGTGACGCCAGATCCTCCTGCAGACGCCATACACCAACACAGTTATCCAACCCTTTACAATTTTCAAGGGCCTAGGGCGCTTCTTCCTATCCCCGTGCCCGCAGCGAACGCAAGAAACTCGATTTCCCAACCTCCGCCGTAATCCCCGCCCATGCGTACAAAACCGCCTACCCTTGGGTAGAGGCCTTGGGAAGAGTCAACTCAATGTACTTCGGCACGGCAAAAACGCCAAGAAATATACACCGCGCGCATTTTTTTCAACGGGATGTAGTGAACGACAGCCCCAACAATTTCGGGCAGTAAAACACATTCAACAACGAACATACGCCAAGACGATCAAATCAACAAATTTCGAGGCACAGCACAGCTACCTAAATACGTTCCACAAAACTCCGTTGTCAAATATGCGACGCTCTTTTAGCGTCGGTTTCCTTCTTTACGCAACAGAAGCACAGGTCAACGCTATATTCTTGCTAGTGCATCCGAGACTACCAAGACGATACAGTAGAGCGCACCCCACAGGGAAACGGCACTCGAAGAGCGCGAAGGAGCTGCAAAAGTCCACGCTGCCCCGCTGTTGTCGCCCGAGTCGGGACCAAGGTCATCATTTTCCTCATCAGCAGACTGTGATCCGTCTTCATCATCAGACGGTGATGAGTCGTCGTCATCATCAGCCCACGTGTCGTCATCATCAGCCCACGCGTCGCCATCATCAGCCCACGCGTCGCCATCATCAGCCCACGCGTCGCCATCAGCAGATTCGTCGTTATCAGCAGATTCATCGTCATCAGCTGGTGTTGTTGATTCGTCGTCGTCATCCGGCGACAGTGATGTTGCCGTTACCAGATCGTCATCGGGGCTGGTGGTAGAGCTGCTGCTTCCCCCGCACGGCGAGTCAGACAGATCGCAGCCGCTGCCCTCGAGAACGCCACACCGAAAGTAGTCCACGGTGACCGTGTCGTCGAGGCAGTCCTGGCCGCTCGCGTCGAAGCTGCAGCAGTACAGGGCAGACGCAGCCTCGCAGCCATCATCGTCCTCAGCGGCCAAGACCGGGAAGCGGTCCTCGCAATACTCGGAGCTGTCCTCAAACTGCGCGACGCAGTCCCAGCAGAGCGTTGATTCGTAGCACGCCGCCGTCTCGTCTGGGCACAGCTCACTGGAGGACGGCAGGGTGGTCGACGCACTCGCGAGATGTGGTCTCAGAGCGTCGGCGACAAGGAGGAGAAGGGGGAGCGCGAAACGGAGAGGGGTTGCTCTTGCTTTCTTGATCTCCGGACAAGTCGGAGCAGCAGCGACGCCCCCGCCCATGGTGGTGGTGGAGTCTATCCTTTCTTTCTTGTTTCTCGTCACAGCAACCTGCAGAAAACGTCGAACGCGAGAGTAAGAGAGGGAGAAAGAGAGAGAAAGTACCCTAGTTTCATTCTTCATACACATGCTCGATCCGGAGCTGAAACCGTCCTTCCGGTCTCATCCGCGCCCCCCCGGCCAGGGCAGCCCACGGGCTAGAACGCGTATCTTGGCGAAGACTGAGGAACTTCCTTCGTTAGCTGAGTAGCTACGCCGCAATATATACACGCTCGGCACCAATACATGAACCCACACGCGACGCAGACCTCACCGAAACACCAGCGGAAGAGCTCAAACAAATATGGTAGATACAACGAATCGTGGTTTTCCGTTGTTTGGTGCTCGCATTGCAAGACATGAACACCGCGTTTGATGAAAATAGTACGGCAGGCTGTTGGCGTGTGCGGCTCGCCCTGCTATTCATAGAGGGGGTACATCTCGCCAAAGGACCCATTTGGAGGTCGCTGCCGCGTTGTGATGGATATATTCTTCATCAGTCAGAGGTAGACCAACACAGCGTCTACTAGTCGAAGCGGTACAAACGGGATAGTAATCCCTCCAGGAGCGTAGTTTGTTTCTTCTGTCGCTTGTATTTCTCTTGGCAGCTTGTTTAACAGAAAAGAAAAACTCGTACCTACACACCCACGGGACCATTGTGGGATCATACCGCATCAACGGACACACCAACCTTTCGTATCGCGGTAAGCGTGAATCACAGAGTTGTGGTCACCAAACCACTAGAACTATAGACCAGTACAGCCGTTTGCTGTTGGCATTGGTGTTGCTTTTTCATCGTGTTTGCTGACAAGTATAAGGACATTAAATATGCTGGCACGAGAAGAGCGGAAATATGTAGTGTGATACTGTCATGTCGATAAGCTCAGGAGGACCATGTTGGTGTAAACTGTGTAGCAGACAGCACAACCATGTTGTTTGCTCGCTGGATTGTTTGTCATTATTATACCTGGGAATATCAGCGATTTATTGCCGTCATACGGCATAGTTGTATAATTAATGAGGGGTCTCTATTTTAACGTGTTCTCAAAACGCCGGGGGCGCACTTCCAGTGACCCCGCGCCTTTTTTCCCCACGGATGTGCACCGCCTCTTTCTCGCCATCGCCATTAACGGTACTGTACCGCCCAATGTAAGCTCCCCTCGGCCCGCATCCGTCTTTCCAACACCCTTTAGTCTAGGGCTTGATCGCTTATGGGGCCACCTTTTGACTCCAATCACCTGTTTTACCTCGCGAAGAATGGTATGGCCGTCTCCACCTTGGAACTCCTCGACAAGGGGGGTGCCGGGGTGCGCGGGGAGCGCTGTAGTCTAGTGTGGGTGCTTTGCAGAGGGCAGCAGTAAAGAGGGGAATGACAGGGAGAATCGCGGGACGATACCGCAGGTTCAACAGCAAAACTTCGCCACGTCTTATCTATGCTTGGGAGGAAAGGGCTACGAGGGGCAAGCGAGGAAGAAGCACCTCGCCAATACGATGAAAGGAGGCACTGGGCAACCTAGAGCTGGGACTTCGAGGTCTCGGGTCTCTCTATTTTGAGGAATACCTTGAAAACCTCCTTTTTCGTGCCCCGTGTACCCACGCTCCTGCGAGTTGTCTATAACCCCCCATCAAAATGGCCCTCGATAATCGCGGGGCCATTGATAGGGCTTTCAGATAAGAGACGGGTCAGGTGGGGAGACAGCTGGGCAGCTGCACCCAGGGGTGGCACTGTCCGCATCATCCAATCAGGAGGCACGTTTCTTTTGAGTTTTTTACGTTTCAGAAATTTCGCAAGGACGCCGAATGTTCTGTGCGTCCTAAAGGGTTGAAAGTTAAAAGGGGTGCTGAAGGTCGATCTTGGTTCTTGCTAATGAGGAACAATGGCCGACAGGCCGACAGAGCACCCACTGAGCACCCACGAGATGAACCATGACCAGTTGGATATTGTTGCGAACGAAAAAAACACTTATTTATCGTACAGAGCAGCGGTTGGGTCTGGTCTCTACCGGCATACCGTATACGACACAAGGTAACACACCCCCTGGACCGATTTTGAAAGCTTGATTACTCCACGACGAAGAGGAGGCATACACGAAGCGATCCGTTTTCGGAGAGCTCTCGACCAGACGCCGATCTATTCGGCGTTGCGAGTCTTTCTGCTGATGATAATTCGAGCTTTGAATATCGGTCCAGGGGGGGTGTTATCTTGTGTCGTACTCCGGTATCATGCAGCCTGCCTTCACAAACAAACCCTCTCAAAAATCAACAATGGATTCCGTAACTTTATAGTCAAGACAAAACAAGCGACACGGCATGCTTTCAAAATTCTTTTTGAGGTGTAGAAGTGTAGTTATTAGATGATCCCAAATCGGCACACGACATGATGGACCGGCGACGTGCGCGTTAGCACGCCCAGATCTCTTGCTGGGGTCGTGCTGTCGAAGGTTGTAGCTGCGGTCCGAAAAGTCCAAACGTCTGAGGCCGTGCGAATATAATTCAGGTCCATTGCTGTCATATAGACTACATGCCCAATGTCCTGAACGGCGGGTGCACTGCACAGCAGCAGTAAACCGCACTGCAGCCTTGGGCGCCCGCAGTTTGGGGGGCCGTGGGCCGTGGGTCTGAAACGCCGCTGACAGCAGTAGTGGATCGTGAATCGTTTCGGGCTTTTCGGACCGCAAGCTGCAGCCATCGGCCGCGCGGCTCATGTGGGCGTGCCGAAACGCGCGTCTCTGCGCCATCAAGACCACCTTTTACTCTTGCCTGTACAGTAGATCCCGCACAGGGTGATTTCCAGGAGGATCATACGCTCTGTTGGATAACACGCACCCCGTTCATTGCAGAGATTTATTCGATCGCCATGTACGCCATACTGCCCGGCGGACCTGTGGGCATGACGGTGCTGAGCTGCGGCTGCTTCGCATGTTCGAAACCGAGCAGCATCGCAAACGCCAAAAATCGTACATACAGCAGTCCCATGTTGTGCGAATTTCGAACAGATTGCGGCTGTATCCCACGAGCTGTGTCTATCCCTTTCTGTGTTCTAGCGTACGAGTTGAATCGCTACAAGCATGTAAACACGCACACATGCACACATGAACACACATGAAGAGATCACTGTCGCAAATTCCACGTGGATGGGACAGTCCGCGCGAACGAGCACGAAAGTTGTTTTTTTGGCCAAATGCGAAACTCTCTAGAGAACTCTCACCCCCTCTGTTTTGACCAGCTTCTCCGACTGCGTCAGCTACCATGCGCACAACGTACGAGCGTTGACGTTTCCTCCCTCGACCCATCATCGCCAAGCAAGGACGTTTGGGAGTTTGAGCACCGCCGGAGCACGTGGTCTGCCGCCCCTACTCAAATGCTCCAAGTCCAATGACTCAATTTTCGGAGATCCAGCGGGACTGTCATGGGAGATTTTGCAGATTTGCAGGCAACAGGCACCGCGTGTTCCGCGAAAATTCGTGACCGTGACACCTGAGTTACTTGCCCGGTCACGTGCGCAGATAAGAGTCGTTGGAGGCATGGGTCTTGCTGCGGGGCAAATGGTTTACACTTTATGCACGCGTGTGCATTCTCTCTGCACACAGAGGGGGGAGTCGGACAGGACTCCAAACCCACAGACGCGTTGGCCCGCTGGCCAAAACACGGAGGGAGGAGTTTCCGGTTCGGATGAGCAGGAGAAGGAAGATTACGCGATAGCCAGGCACGTCGTCTGCTGCCAAGCCGTACGGTCCCCACCCACGCCTACCCGTCACCGAGAAGCAACGAACACCACCACCACCAGCACACAGCAGTCTCTCAAAGGTAAGAGTCTCTCAGTCTCCACCGATGCTATGTACACGCACCCACAGGTTGTTGCCCTTGCCGCCAGCTCCTCTGATGGATGAACGGGCTATCTTTACGTCAGTAACATACATAGTCGGCACTTCGGTAACGGCAGGATGAACTTGTAGGTATCATGTTCACCTCGGCCAAGCCTAACGGTACGCGGACGCCAGCGCGTCCTGAAACCGCTTTTGGCGCATCAAGCAGCTCGCTCGGTTCTGTCCCATCGCGTTGTCCTCTCGATTCTCTGCTACACATGAAATGAACACATCGGAGCACCGATAACGTGTGCAACATGCCCTTTGTGTATTCGCTGCTGTACATGCTCCCAATTTTCCAAAATTGTAGCCGGACCGGGTAACACTCTCTCCGTTTGCTCCTTCGGATTTGGTCCCATAACCGCGTAAACGAGTACAATCTTCATGATAAGCCAGCCATCTATCTACCGCGAGGCGTGTCGGGACGAGCCCAGGGAGGAGAATGAGAAGACATCGCTATTTATTAGTGGACACGGCAGTGGCCAGCTCTTTTCGGTGGTGAAAAACAGACGAAATATTTCATTCTTCATTCAACGCAGTCTTGGCCATCGCGTCCGCACCGGATGCAGCGAAGCGGGCGGTACGCAAGTTGGCATTACTATGTAGATACGCATAGGGAGGGTTAATGAGCTGCGGGTGACGACTCAGTACCAAACCCTCGCGACGAGAAGCGGAGCTTGCTGTGTACCACACGTGTTTACGAGTAAATTCTTCACATACATGCAGTAAAAATTTGTTTTCCGCTCATCTGATGCCGTTCACAGTTGTTCTTCATGCGCTTTTCAAGCGCTTCATCACACGTCACGCCCCGCACTTCGGAATCAATTACTGCTCTGTACAGCGTAGGAGTACTTTACAATATATTGCCGGGTGTTGGTTCTGGCGGTCGATTCCTCTTCAGCGCCCTACTGTATCGCCGTTCCGCAGCAGCCGCCCTTTCCCCCGCCGCTACAGTAGGCCGTGCGAGAAACGGTGCTCATATACCACACCCGTGGTTACGAGTTGATTCTTGGGAAGAATAAATGATTCTTCACATACATACGTGCGGTCCATTTTATTTCGCTTATGATGCCATCCGTTCACAGGTGGTGTTCTTCG